CTCCCAATCGAAGTATGTCGCTTCGTTCTACTAGGAGAGTCGATACGAGTAGAGGGCAACGATCCTGGACGAGCACCCGATGCGGAATAAATGGAACCATTGTCTGAAGGCATGGACTTGGCAAGTTCGGGATTAAGCGACACCATTGCCACCATGAGTTGGGAGAGAATCGAGGTTTCCTGAGTCCGCCAATAATTCCATGCAGCATCACTGCTGAAGTCTTCCCTTCTACCGGGAAATGGTGCGCCAGCATTGATATTCTTCAAGCAAGTCTGCGATACGCGCACGGTCAATACACAACTCTTCTTTTACCTGTCATCTCACCTTGAGGTCTATAACAGCAGCCTACTGATGTTCAGTGGCAAGATCTGCTGGGAGGGTATCATCTACCTTCTCTGTACATGTTTTCCACAACCGATCCACCTCGCCCTGCATAGCATTCTCAGGAATCTTGAACAGGCGTGCCACAATCATCACAAAGGGCATATCTGAAATATTTTGGCTGATGCTCGGCTGTGTACTGATGGAATCTCCTCGGTCGCGCGACGCGGATGCAGAGTCGTAACCCGAATCATTCGCAGACTGCGGCGGTGCAAGTTTGGCATGATACATATCCAGGCGTGAATTGAGCTCGGGCGAAACATGGCTGAGAGTTTTCAAGCAATCCCGAAGCATCCTCACGAACTGTGCAATTTGGTTGTTCACCTCAACCTTCCATCCATCGTCAACGAGTGTGGGCTCCTTCCTGAGCACACTGGTGGCTTGTGAGGCAAACATCAAGATCAACTCCTCTATGCTTCTGTTCTCCTTCATCTGCTTCCTGAAGGAGTCCCCTATGAACTGCCCGTAGAAAACGGCCATAGTTCGCCTTGTTAATTGGTCAGAATACCTGCAACCTTAGCGTCAGCATATAGTCCCAGAACACAGTACAGTTATGCCACAGACGCAGCATCTTTCCCCATTGCTATATTCTGTAGTTTCTGTTCCAAAACTTTGAGGAGTTTCTCTGGAAACTTGACGCTCTTCGAACCATCCCTGAGGTCCTTGAATATATCACCTATGGATACAATGGAGTTGGATATAGCTCCTGAGAATTTTGAGTGATGTTCCTTCTCCTTTACCTCGGAGGCGTTAGCGTGCTGATTCGATACTTTCGGCTGGATGACATAGCTGAGGATACTGCAGATGACATAAAATACGCGAGATTCAAGTTGGTGCTGGTACGCGGGGCAAGGGTACGCACGCTACACGAAGGACATATCTATGTTGCGGATCCAAAACAGTCAATTGCATGAGGTGGGTGATGTTGACTCATGCATACGTACTCGAACAAATCGTCGTCGTTGACACGATACTTGGAAATGCGTTTCTCGTGAGCACCGCTATCATAGCTCCGCTTGGACATGGGTCACAGCCGATATTGAGAACACGGCACGGCCGACCAAGTTTGAACAAAGGAGTCAGATTCCGGTAGATTAAGCGGTGATGGTGCTTGGTGAAAGGAGAGCTGAGATATCACAAGTTGATAAAAGCTGTACTACCACGGATGATTGTATCATAGGCCACATTGGCCCTTGGCAAGCACTGACAAACACACTTACCCACAGCGGACACCACTTGAGCGCAACTGCGCAAATAAATGCACATTAACAAATGTAACGCAAACTCCGTCTAATTAGTATGAGTATCATCTACAATTCGTCATGTCCTGGCTGTCTATCTCCAGGTGCCTGCGTTGGTTCAGTAGATGACGATCCATCGGCGTCATCAGGCTTCGCAGTTGGCTTTTTGACTTTGGGTAACTTCCTCTTCACCAATCTTTGTAGGTGCAGTTCCAACGTCTTCGCTCGCTGCTGCATCTCCTTAGTTTCAATCGCCGGGTTTTCATTCATCTTTATCTTCTTTTGCCGCTCAACACCATCATGAAGCCAACTTTCATGCTCCTTGAGTGCTTTCTCGAGCGCATCAAGCTCCTGGGATGTCCATTTCGAAGGAACCCCTACGATGGCGTCGGCCGTGATGTTCTCCCTTGCTTCGGTAAGGAATACTCTGGTACTCCAGTTCCACTTTTGTGAGTTATTTAGTGCCTGGGGGAAAGACTCTATCTCCTTGTAGCGGTGTACGATTGGTCTCTCGAAAGCCCTGTTCAGAAATGGTAAGCAGTTAAAAAGCCTTTTCCCACAAGCCACTTACTCGAGAACTGTTCGCTTCTCCCATAGCTCCATCACATCAGCAGTGTCTCCTTCGTCATGTAGCCATGCAATGGTATCCGAGAGTTTCTTCGAAAGTTTTTGCCTTTCAGATGGCTGAGAGCACTTCATGAATGGCGTTTCTGGACCATCATTCAAAAGATCCCGTAGCTTATACAGATATCCTTCAAGAGTATTATGCGCTTCTTCCCGAAGTTGCCTCGACATCTCCATGTTGTCTAATGCTTTGAGACTGTTGCAGCATGACTTTGATCAGTCAGTCTTATGACCGCAGACAATGCAAACGTACCGTTCACGTGCAGCTCTTTTCGCCACAAGATTCAGTGGACCTTGCGAATTGTACACAATTTCGATCTCAAGTGGAACAGTACTTTGGTCCTTCCCAAGCGGCTTCTTGGCCTTAGTCGTCTTATCCTTCTCCGTCTTCTCGTCCTTTAGGGCTCCCTCATCAACGTCAGCCTCTAATGGTATCTGGTCACCACCACCTCCAAATAGGCCTTTCAGCTTCCCTATTCGAGCTTCATAATTAAGAAGAAGAAAAAGTGAAGATACGTACCAGTGATGGAGTCGTCTTTAATCTCGCCGTAGGCTACCGCGTCTCCTACAGACACAAAGCCGGATTCAGAAAGCACGACAGTGGCCTTGATCACCGGATCGATTGCGCCGCGTTCAGTGAGATTACCAATGGCCTCAGGAATGCCAACAATCTTTGCCTCCAGGATCTCGCGGGGGAAGCCACTAAAAACGAAGTTAACAAAATATGGACATTTGTATGTACGGACCACGCACGACATGACTTCATTGGGATAGTTCAGTACCACAGAAAAATCCTCTTTACGCTTGAACGTCAAAGTCTTTCTTGCACCATGCTTCGATCCAACAGGTAAGACTGTCGTGTGAATCGTCCGCGCGCCTGCATTGGACGCGAGGTAGGACGCCTGGATATCATGTATCAGGACATCAGTTACACGAATGTCCTTGGTCTTGAATTGACGGGAGAGAGAAGCTCCATAAAGCGCTGCGCCAAGTACGGCGGCTTCATCAGCATTGACGTTGAGTGCAATGCGATCTCTAATAAACATTTGAACTCCAATTGTCCAAAAAGAAAAAGAAACATAAAACTTACTCGCCAACAGCTGCTTTTACAGCAGCCTGGACCATAGGCGTGCGTGAATTTCCACCTGTTAAGATAACGGATGAGATATTTGCCTGTAACTGTGTCAGACAATATTTGCAAGATAACCTGTGGGCATGCATACCAACGAAAGTCCAGCATTCGCAAGCGCATCATAGATGGGTCTTGCAAAGCGCGAGTGGAGGTCTTTACAGGCGTCCTCAAATTCCGAGCGAGTAACCTTGGCCTTGAAGTCAATGTCAAATGCAACACTCTCCACCTGAGAGCTGTGAGCATCGAAATTACATATTACGTTTAGCCATCTTGCTTACCGTCGACATCGCGTCTGAGTTGGCACTGAGAATAGCCTTGACGCGTCCAGCCTCTTTCCAAAGTTTAGCCATAGCGCGACTATCCTTTCGAATATCCCGCCGGTGCTTTGACACAAAACTGTCTATCAAAATATCCCGCAACCTCAAGTCTAGCTCTGTTCCGCCCGTATTTCGATCATGACCGACACCCATAACATTGATCTGAGTGTATGATGTCTTCATCTTGGGATCCTCGGCCGCGGCGAACGACACCACTGTGGCACGTGTCGAAGATGCGCCAGCGTCATAAATGACGTGGTGTTCGGGAGTGGTCGAAAAGGTTCTCGTCATGGCGTAGTTGACTGCTACAGCCGTGCCGTCATTGACTAATGACAGTACTTTAAGTCCTGCTATCTCTATTGCGTCTGCAATCGAATCGCGCTCGAACTGGGAGAAGTATGGTGGAACGGTGAGGATGACCTCCTTTACCGTCTCGCCTGCTAGATCCTCAGCAAGCTTCTTGATATATGCTAGTTGCATCGCGACAAGCTCCTCCGTACTCCATTCCGTACCGTCACTTTGTTTCAGTGCAACAGTTTTGCGGTCAGTCTCAGAAATCTGAGCGGTGGATATGGAGGTGAAGTAAGTAGCAATATCAGAGTTAAATGGTGCGCCTTGTAGGTATTTGAGGGATGAGAATGAGTCTTGAGGGAAACGAGATGCCTGTATCCTGTCAGACCAAGGGGAGGATGCTCTGGAGAACGGTACTCACGATATTCGCCGCGTCAGACCCAAATAATCTTTCGTCTTTCTTCCACGCGACTGAGGACTGTATCTTCCGCTTGGAGTCCTTGTTCAGTAGCACGTCGAAGGGCACACCAGGCTTCATGAGCGAAGCCTTAATCCAGTCGGACCCATAGTCAACTGCCAGTACCGATGCTAATGAACTCTCGAAAATAGCAGCAGAAAAGAGAAATAATGTAACCGCCTTTATGAGCGAAATACAAGGCATGACGAGGACTCAGAAGTAAAACCGGGCAAAGAGCATCGAACAACTGAGGACTACGAATTTTGGTTCTGAAAGGTACACTAGCGGTACCACCAACTATTAGGTTCCACGTACTGAACCGGGAATTGCCGAAACACCTGTCACCGTCCTATGATCTCGTCAGTAACTGACATCCAAGCTAGCTGTGATGTGTGGTGCAGGAGGCTGAGTTAGTACACAGAAGCATGGAAGTGCTTCCGCAACAATGATGATCCATGGTACGATTCACCTGTATCGGGGAACTTTGATATTAATCGCGTAACTAAGCTCTCGAGGCTGTAAGCTGAGAGAACTACAGAATTCAGCTTGCAACACCTTCTCGACTTCGAGATGTTCCTAGGTACTAGGTCATCAATTGAAAGGCGAAGTTGTCGAACAAGTCAAGGCTCTCCGCCGCAGGCCAATTATTGAATTAGCCACATGATCAAGAACCTTTTTATGTACATAACAAGCTGTACATGCACATAGCCGCTCGACCTTTTTCAAACTCGGAACCACTATATTCTAGATCTCCTACGCTTTTAGGTTTGCTCAGGAGAGGCTAGCGCTCAACCTGAACACCAAACGACGACGGCAAAACATGTCAAACACGGGGCTAATTCAAAAGCTCTTAAGACGTCTATGGCAAGTCTGGGCGGCGCTCGCACATTCATCTGCCCAGCGACTGTGTATCCTTGTGTCTCGCTTGTGGCGCTGTGTCGCGAAGGTTCGCGCTTTACCTGGACACAGCACCGACGCAAAATCTTCTACTGCAGATTCATGCTGTGCCGCGGCTAGCGGTGCACAATGTCCACAGGTTACCTTGCCATTGCCGCTTCACCACCAAATAACTCTAACTGATACAACAAGCGGCACTGAAGATGCGATGTCGTCTTCAACAATTCCATACGCCATGCCTAATCCATACATTCCCGAGCAATTTATCCCGCATTGCACGTATCCGCCCCCAGAAGCTAGTAGTGTGATTTCTTCCAATGCTCCCGGTACCACTCCCCGTTTTGTACCATTTGCTGCGAATGATGTTTTGCGATATGATAATCGTCCTCTTGTGTACGTGCAACGCCCTCGTGATAGTAAATAGTCTTAAGTACTCACTTTACAGAGAAAAAACTCGTGAGCGCAATTACATTCCAGCATTCATGAGGCACTTCACAAACGAGTGAGTGCATTAGCCAGACAATATCTGATGGAATGAAAAACCATGCAGATCATGTCCATGGTTAAACGGTGATTGGACTTCTTGTGTACATCCCGAAGGCGCGCTGTATCTCTATAATATGAGTCGAGTAAGCATTCGATGAAAAAATACAGGTGCTTCATGGGCCACTGATCATATTGTTTTAGAAAACGTTCACTGAGGCCATCATGGATGAAACTACGTTTCACCTGCTTGCCAAATGCGTGGATGGACTATACGACATGGCGCGCGCGAACTCGGCGTGTCTTGAAGCCTGTGATGTTGAGCTCGTTGTGCAGTTATGGCCAACTGAAGGCGAAATGACTTGTCAATATTACTTCGTCGACCACAAATCTCGAATTCTCTTTTGGCTGGAAGATAACCATGAAGCGACGACGAACATCTTTAGCGGGCTCCGGGGTGTCTATGATCCGAGTCATATTCGTGCGTTATGTTGAACTTTGATCACACTGATATGAATTTGGCAAGCAGGACTTGCCTTAGAGTCCGAGTACTGGTTTGTCACTTGCAGTTGTGTAAGTTTCAGTGATCTTTCCTATTTTGATTCTAATGTGCTTCAAGATTCCGTATGACCATCAACACTTGAGTCGAGCAGGACGCATTGCGAACGCTACCCAAACCACCAAACGGATCGAGTCAAGCTTCTCAAGGAACTGAGGGAGGTCGTCATGCATGCGAGTGCAGGTAGTGATCAACTGTCATTAGCCTTCAGTTGATTTTGAACACGACATTTCAGAGATTATCACTTCAGACATGTCCTTGTCACCTTTTGATGCCGATGAACTCTCTAAAATCTTAGAGCTGATTAACCACCTCCGAGGTGCGAAAACTTCTTAAGAACAGTTCATATTGAAATTACACATATCCAGAGAACGCTGAGGAAAACGATTGTCCTCATTCCACTTGTATCATTGGTAAGACAAGCCTATCCATTTCATTGATTGTTCATTAATTTATAAACAGCTAGATTCATGCATTATTTTTGTACGATCTTGATTTCATCGCCGGGTTCAGGTCACTCATTCATTCTGAAGACAGAGCCAAATTTTTTAACTTCTGCGGCCTACCCTGTGCTCGACTCGACGCTGACAAATCCGTCTATGAGGAGGACACTGGCTTTCATCCACTGATCGGCCCTCTTTCTCTGGTTTTCGAAGCCATGCTTTTTTGGGCACCGCAAGCGCACTTGAAGGATCTTCGAAGGGTATGGGTAGATGAGTGTATCAACACGCCGCGGTGGAAAGACTTCAACACAAAACTCATGACGGAGTGGACTGGGATCACCATATACGTGCGTATCTGCAAGTCACCATTCTGCTTTATATCTTGATTTCTCCCAGTCAACCGTCATGTTAGCCGTAGATGTTAGTTTCCTCGCAGTGCCGAACATGAACATCAGCCAGTCACAGTCGACTGGAATCATTGCTACCTATCTCTCGATTATCTTCATCACCGGCTCCTTGATTGTATCGGTCCTTCTGGCGCGTCAGAACCAGAGATACGGTTTTGAATCAGCTGATAAAGCGGCAAGTCATCGCCCTTGCATCCTTTTCTGCCACGCTAAGTAGTCTCCTCAGGCTGAGTTTCTGTCAAGTCTGACAGGCACGTTTGTTGGGGTGAAAGCCCTCGCCACCATTCACAGTCTGCCATATGCAATGCTTATGTGGGGGTGCGTTGATCAACATTATCTAACCGGGATGATTGATTGATGTGCCCTTCACCAGGATGATCTACTTCGCAATCGGCCTTCTGTTCAACGTGTTAAAATTTACGACGACGGCCATGCTGGCATCAGTCGTCAGCGGGTTCGTTGTCGTTATCATGTTCATATCGTGGTTCATTTGGGCAGCGAGAGATGTTCATATTTTCAAACGACTGACCAAGTTCGTTCTTTCTGTCGCTCGCAGGAGATAGTATTCAACTTTAGCTCTTCGGGTATTTGTATTATGTCGACCATGCAGTGGACAATTACCAACCGAGTCCAAACTGAGTGTTCAGTAAAAGCACATAATGCGTGAACTAGTGCACAGTGCACATTGCTTGATCGATCTACAGCTTGATGCCACACTTGCGTCAGCCAAATCACCTCACCAGACTGTGGTACATGTAGTACAAAGTACCCAGGTATGTGGGCACGTCTCACTAAGTTTAAGAATCCACTACGATTGGATACACAGGTAACGAATAACAAGGATCCTTTCGGATGCTACGTTTCTGTATGACATGTTAGCCGCGGTACTGATTCGATTATCGAATGTATGCAGTGCTCATTCACTGGACACGTCGATGCCTTCCGCCCAGTATTCACTGCCTCCGAGTCGTTCTGGATGTTCTGTCCAATCCGAAGCCTTCTGCAACATGGAAATTCGAAAGGAAAACACAGGATGTACGGACTCGTCCGATTATGGAAGCTGTGCGGCCGACTACGTGGCTGCCCTTCTTCCACTTGTAGTAACCTTTATCATGATCATTGGTTTGTGCAGCCCGCGCTGAGATAGGTCATTATGACCTGTGCAAGTCGTTCATTGCATCTTAGCGCCAGCTTAAAGCATATAAGGAAGTTTATCCTGCCCATGGTCCCAACCAATTTGCCTGTCTTCTGGTAACATCGTCGCGATGAAGCACCAATCACGGAAGTTTATCGACCTCATCCAAGCCATTACATCCAAGTGGGCCAACTGGGATCCAACAAAACCAATCCATGTATGTCAAGCCAAGCGCTCGGTTTTAATTAATCTAACAGGCACAGGTGGGCGACTATGGAATGATCAACAAGAAAACTGGAGAATTCGATTGTGAAGGGAACATTTACACAACAAAGGACATTGTCGATATTGACATGACGGATCCTGCACTACGTCCCGTAGAAACGGGAGAGGACGATAAATTCATCGTCACATCGTGGGGTGTCACTACCAAGGAATTCAGCAAAACTGCTAAAGTGTAAGTGCCACAATATGCATCGTTTGGGTATATATCTGACTGTGTGTGATATAGCTCCGTGCCTGGTGCAGAGAATGTCGCCCTCAAAGTCGGATTTCAGTACGATGGTAGGAAACGAGGAGCTGGGCTGGCCATGTACAAGTCAAGACATATCAGCCTTCCCAATGATGAGCGCATCGTCAGGCTGCTCAAGTCTAGATCTCAAGTCCTCAAAGGGAAGCACGTCGTCACCGAAGTGATATGTTGCGCAGCATATGCGATGTATATGTCTACCAATAGTAAGTCCGGCATGTGCAAATTATTCCACGCTATTCACAATTGGCACAGGAGTAGAAAGATTTTTCAGACCACGTCAAGCCACCGGCGGGCTTATCTGGTCTTCAGAGACTAACCATGGTATCTACCGTGAAGGAAGCGACTCGAACACAAAATATATGCCCTTGTACAGGCTAAATAAGTCTGGTACTTAGTTCTGGTAGTCTCGGTCAATGCGATGAGAAAATTGATGATTCGATCGAGAGGTGAGTTGAAACCCTCTTGTGGTTCAGCAGTGCAATAACTTCCCTGTAGGTGGCAGGATCTCGACCTACCTTTGGCATCACTGGAGATCGGTGCATTCTGACTGTCAAAGACGTCGCCTTGGGACCTTCGGACACAGTCAGATCGTCGAAGTTCAACTCCTCAACACATTCGAAAGCCACTGCATCCCCTGTACCAGCTTTGCGTTCCATCCAAACCGTTCGTCGTGGACAGCGGATTGAGGAAAATTGCCTCTGTGACTCGCGTATGCAACTACATTTAATGGTTGCCAAGAATTGACGCTATCGCGACTGCGGTTGACCTTCGAACGGATTCATTTGCTCACGACCAATTGCACACAACGCACGTCGAGGATGAGAATGCGGAGAGATATAGCGCGTCTATTCGCCCACTCGGAGACGAATGAATGACCAGAGTGTGCTGATATCATATTTCCCGAATTGCTACTTTGAACAATATATCGTCGAAGAGCCTTCCAAAGGGTATACTTGTACTAAATATCAACACACGTACAGCCGCTGCCATGGCACACCTGTAGCTTCGGTTGATTCTTACCTAGAATTTTAGATGTTTCCTCTTCTGTCTCAGACGCAACTCACCTTGAAAGACGAAGAAAATGAGGCAAACTCTGCTCCGGCTGCAAGACACAATGACAAAAATCTTGACAGATTTGTTCCGGAGGTCTCGAACCACGCCGCGTACAAACCTCGTTGGTTGAGAGAATACCCGAGAACATCTCTCGTGGCCCGATTGAACTGCAGCCTGAGGCACATATGATCACATCTGCATCATCTATCCCCGAACAGTTATTCAAATTGATGTCGTTACCCTGGAATTAAGATGAGTTACTCACTGTGTAGTAAATTTGCTCCTTTGTTTCTCCCGAGGAACGTATTCAACTACCCCTGGGCCGAAGTGCCATAGCCTCGGGGGTCAAAATTATGACTTTGTGACAGCGGCAGTGCAGCGGCACGTGATCTCATACAGTGCCTTCTACCTTATTCACACGCTCTTATCCTTGTTGTCTCTCTTCTGATTCCTCACAGCCTACATTGCTACCAGCACCTAGTAAAGGGAGTCAGCTTCAACTACATACTAGCACCACATTTGGCACTCACTTCCTCTTCCAGGCCGCTGGTACCTAGACTTGCTAAGTTTGAGGCTGCGAGGCTGTCCCTCACAGCTCACCTCGGCTCTCTCTTACACAGGTTGAGGCTGGGTCGCCCCTTAGGAGCTTCCATCCAAACACTACTCGCTTCGATGAAGCAAACATTTTTTTGTTCTCGTTATCGCTATTAGGACTGCCGCACGACAGTATATCGACGCGTCGACGCTGTGCATCCATGATCCGGTTTGGGACGCTCATGGACTACAACCTACGTCAACACAATTCAAGAGCGGAGAAATCACCAGGCAATGCCGAATCCTCTGCCAGGACCCTTGCAGCATGTGGACGGCAGATTGAGCAGCTCCGGAAGAAGATCCCAAGTCAGTCGATGTTCCTGGTAAAATCATGAGAAGGCAAAGCGTTCACCTGCATGCGTTGCCCCATCTGTCTGTACAACGCATCAAGTTTACAACGACGGCTATGCTGACATCAATATGGGGGCGCGGCCTGCCATTGTCAGCAGATGCGTGGCCGTTATCACGTTCATATCGTGGTTAATCCTCCAGGCAGCCAAGTCCGTTCTTTCTGTCAATAGTGGGAGAGGTGGTATCCAACATTAGCACTTTGGGTTTCTATCATGTAGACAGCTGGTATACAATGACACTATTTAAAATTTAATTCAAGTTTCCAGTAAAAGCATAAAAGCGTGAACCTAGTACTAGATGATCCGATCCGCCACCTGTGCCATTCCAACTATTTGAGCCAAACCTTACAATATAAAATCATGGTATCTTCTAAGAACCTGTGCCGCATACTCTGGATCAGAAGTACTGAATACTATGGTATGTGGCACAGCTCGTACTACATTGCTTGAGGGCGCTAGTTCCAAGTTTCTCTGATCGTTACGTTTCACTATTAGTTTCTAGAATCCCGGCAGTGTGCGACTCTTGGATACACAACATTCTCATCGGATGCTGATTCGACTATGCAGTACTCGTTCACTGGACGTGTCTCATGCCTCCTGTTCAATCCGAGGCCTTCCGAGTCTTCAACGTTCACGAAAATTCGAAAGGATGTACGGAGTCTGTTATGGAAGTTGTGAGGATACAGCTATACAGCTTATGTGCCTATAGCACTGTCCTTCTTTCACATGTTCTTGCTGCGGCTTCTGTCCTGTGGGGCCTGCACTGCGATAGGTAATCATGACCCGTTCAAGGCTAAGCCTTTGAAAATCGTGCATTGTTTATATCTCCAAGTTAGCGCCAGTCAAAGGCATATAAGGAAGGTCTATTCTGCCCACAGTCCCCACTGGCAAGAATTTACCCGTCTTCTGGCAACATCGTTGCGATGAAGCACGAGTCTCGGAAGTTCATCGACCTCATTCAAAACGTTTCATCCAAGTGGGCCAACTGGGATCCACCAAAACCGATCAATGTATGTCAAGATACCGCTTGGTTTCAATTGACCTGACAGCCACAGGTGGGCGACTATGGAAAGATCATCAACGAAACTGGAGAATTCGACTGGGAGGGGAACATTTACACATCAGGCATTCTCGATATCGACATGACGGATCAAGCATTAGTCCCTGTGGAAACGGAAGGGGACGACAAATTTATTGTCAAATCGTGGGGTGTCACTACCAAGGAAGCCACACCTGCTGGAACGTAGGTGCTACAATATGCAGTGTTTGGGTATATATCTAACTGCGTTGCAGCGCCACGACTGATGCAGAGAATGTCGCCCTCAGAATCGAGTTTCAGTTCGAAGGTAGGAAACGAGCAGCTGCACTGGTCATGTACAAGCCAAAATACATCAGCCTTCCCAATAACGATCGCCTCATCGACCTGCTCAAGAACAGACCCGATGTCCTCAAAGGGAAGTACATCGTCACCGAAGTGATGCGCTGTGATGCGTATATGATGTACATGTCTACCAATAGTAAGTCCGGCATGTGTAAATTCTTCTGCGTTATTCACGCTCGGCACAGAAGCGGAATCTTTTTCTGTGACCCTGAACACCACCGGGCCTTCTGCGTCAGCTTTCACCTGGTGTGCGGAAACTACCTATGGTCTTTACCGTGAAGGAAGCAACCCGACCACAAACTACATGCCCTTGTACAGGCTTAAAAAGCCTCGTTCCAAGTTCTGGTGGCTTGTAGGTCAACGCGGAGATGAGATCATTGACGATTCGATCCCGAAGTGAGTTGAAGTCACCTTGTAGCTCAGCAGCTCAATGGCCTCCTTGTAGGTGGGAGGATGTCGACCCTCCTTGGGACCCCCTCGACGATGAGGGTGAAGAGGACCCAATCTATGATGCAGTACGTTCTCGGTTTTTTTTTCCATTGGAACTTAACTGGATTCATCTCTCTCCAACAGGAAATGCATGGTGACTTCGGCGTTTTCAATGATGGTTATCCTGAGTAAGTACTGCTCTGGTGCAAACTTCGCATGTCTCAAGTACCTCTCATAGCAATAACGATGATGAATGGTGATCATTCGCGAATGCTATTATTGATACCCCAAGGGCCAAATCGTGTCATTTTGTATATAGGATCAGTGCAACAGTATCAACGCTTGTTACAATGGACAATGTCTTCTCTAGCTAAATTTTGAAAGTTACACAATTCTGCCAATATTTGTCAAGCAGCGACAACTATACTCTTAAGTGTGTGAGTTGCTATATGCCAGTGTAAGTAACTCGTAACCAGACTGACTAGCATGCGTCAATTTGAGATGGTGAGAATCGAGCATCCGTGGTAGTATACGCCAGACTAGTAGTAAGCAATCCTGTCGTCACCTAATCATAATTTATAGTTTAACTTGTTAGATCCTGCCCCACAAGGTATCAAGGACTCCTCTTCCAAGACCAATACTTATTTCTTGTGGGTGTAGCATGAATAGCCGCCGGCATCGAATGCTAAAGAACTCAATCGGGAAGTGATGAACAAAAGATGGAACATGATGAGGGTGCATTATGAGGACACCAAAAACCTGGGATGGAGATCTCGAGATAAAGTCGTCGCATGCAAAATCAAAGGTTACATACAAGGCTTGTGTTAAATTATATTATGTTCCCACACTCTTGTAGGTAGAGGTGACTTTGCGGCTCACGTGATTTGTGAAGCTCTCGAAGATCGACCGATCTTTGCCTTCAACCCAGGTGAACAGAAGCTCGCATGCCATATCACTTGAAGTATAAGATGATAGTTTGCGACATTCGACTGAATAACGCAGGACTGGCAAATCTCGCTCTGCATAGTCTGTTTCTGGAAGTTTCCCCCTTCGTGCTGCGCGGGACCAGGTATTACCTCGGGCATGCACCAGTGCATCAGGAAAACTACCAGTTGCTTTTTTTACTTTATTTGTCACTTAATTACACGAAAAGGGACGCATAAGTCGATGGAGTGAAAAAGCGCGAGCCACTTAATTAAGCCCACTCGTCCTCTGGATTTTTACTTAATTCACTTAAATAAGCAGAAAAAGCGGTTTAAGCATTTGATAGCAGGATAACGAGGATACATAGAAAGCGTGATAAGCATGAAATTAAGGAGACTCTCAGTAACATAAGGAACTGGGGGAATGGGGGAAAAGGTGGGCATGCAGGCAAAAAAGCAGTCAGCGGCAGAAAACATGATAGCAGAGCTGGCGGAAAACATGATATACGGCAGAAAACAACCACAGGACAGCGAAATTCATGCACTGGCAGGTGCTGCAACAAAAACAAAATCCTGCAACAATGGATGTCAGTGAGAGGGCGCCTGAATGATAAATACTTACAAATCATAGCACGCTTGTCATCCTCCGACTCGTCATCGTCGATCAGCGAGCCCAACGGTGTTTCAGTGACATCATTCAAGGTGGTACGCGCCATCTGTACTGTAGTTTCGAGGTACCCAGCAGGCTTGCCTAACAGAGATTTGATGTACGAATTAGTTGGTTTAAGCCAGAGAGCTGCCGAAAATAAAAATGGAATGTTGGTCTTTTTCCCAGTAACTTTGTTGAGGACCTTCGGTAGCCTGATGCTAACCCGACCTCTTGATGCGGATGACAGAACATTTTGAACTTCGAGTACTTCATTTGCGATCATGGAGACAGCGCGCTCAATCTGGAAAAAATGAGCATGATTAAGCCATTATAGGTTGAACTCACCGCTGCAGCAGAAAGAGCAAGAGGCCGTAACATCCCACTTCATCAGGAAAACCCTCCCCCAACAAATTTGACTAAAGATGTAACATTAGAACTAATCCTGCGTTATTATGTCTAAATTTTACAAATTCAAGTTTTAGCAAGTTTAGTTCGGTTTTTTTACCCCCTAATAAAAACACAAGAATTAGCAATGATTTTCAGCAATTCAAACACATTATCATAACTTGTAGAATTGATTGTTTGATCTTAGACGAGGGTTCCAACCGAATCAGACAGAATAAGATAACAAGAACAAAATTAAATTTGATTAAAAATGGGTATATGGGCAGTAGGCTAATTTAAATAACAGTGCGCGCTATGACCAACCGGGAGACTATGTATCAGCTTCACAATTCCATATTGTACACCATGAAAACAAGTGGGGGATGATTCAGTCTTCTTCCATATTGTTGAGGTCAAGTAACTCGAATGCTTCGAGCTCAGCAGCATGGCCACTGGCAGCGGTGCCGCTGTATCGCAACTTCCTGCAAGCAGAGTGAGCATCGAGGGAATACTACCTAAGTGGAACTCACTGTGCAGCCTCATAGATGTCGGCCATCATACAGTGGAATTTTGCAGGTGCGTCCTTCTTCAGTTTTTCCAGGAACCTGACATGGTAGTTGTATGTCTCGCTGAATAAATTTCCTGTAAAGTTGAATTTCGATGGTGAACCTTGCGACTTCCACAGAAGGGCTGCGGTGACACCTTTGCAACAAGTTAAACAGCGCATCCGTACAATGACGACAAGCACATTACCGCAGTGGCAACCAATGCCAGCAAAGGGATAGGGACTTCGGGGCGCTGGCCTTTGTTGTTGGCGATTTCGATGAAGCGTTCCACAAACTTGATGGCAACGGACCTCGAGCTATGAAAGAGCTGCCGATATATTAAGAAAATTAAGAGTTCACCCTGGTAGGGCTTCTTTCCAATGGGCGAAGCCTCGTTATTGATCTGTATAATTTCAACAATGTCAGTAGTACAGACAAGGGGAGAGATCTCACATCAAACTTCAAGGCATATATATATGCAAGCTTATCCAATAGCCTTCTCACTGCAGCTTTCCCAGTGTCGGTGTGTCCAAGGCGAAAGTAACCATCGGCATGCGCACATGCGTCTTCCTTCAGCTCACGACGCAATATTGGAACACGAGCATCCACCTCGCATATGGTTAGAGACTGATAAGAAAGGGTGCGATTTGAACTCACCAAGCTACCGAGTTGTGACGCATACCGTTCGTCCGATTGAAGACGTTCTTTGATTGGGTGCACACCACGTTTTTCGGCGACAACTATCAATGCTTGCAGCGCAACTTGGTTCTTGTCAACCAGTTCAGGATAGCCGTGGGTGAAAAAAAGGTGGCACTTGACTTCCATGATTGCGGACTGAAGGACTTTGCGAGTCTCTAGGTTCTGATCAAGTAATTTCACCTTTCCACTTTCTGTTCGAATGAGCGAGGCGATACTCCGAGTCTTCGCGTCAGAGGTAAGTTTCCGAGTCGGTGCAGTGCCTTCGTTGTCGGATTGGAATTCTGAGTCGCCACCAGTTGAGCGATCTTCAATGGACTCCGAAACTGCATCTTCGACATCCATATTGGCCCAGGTAGGAGTCTCTGCTGCTTGTTTGTGATCTCGGGCCTTGAACTCGGCTTTTGGACTTGGGGTGCCACGTGACTCGGATTTCGATGCTACCTGCTGCTTGTTGGTGACGACCGACGCGACCTTCAAATTTTCAAATGTGAGTTCACAAGCATATGATATAGAAAAGCTGACCTCATCGAAAAGCCTCAACGCAGCCGAATCTTCATCCTCACCGTCAGTGGCGCTGCTCTCCGAGTCGTTACCGTCTGAATCGGTTAGTAAGCTGTCCCGACTCGGTTTGTCCCTGGGCCGACTCATATCAGAGTCAGTACTCTGCTCATCTTCATCTTCAAGCAATGCCACATCTTGCATAGTGTAAGTTCGGCAGAGTTTCGCTGGTCGTCGATAGTAAGGCAGCTGCGCTGCACACCGTGATCATGTGAGACTCGAACTTCCTTTTTTGTCACGGCGTAGGCTGACCATCAAGTTGCTTATCAACCATCAGTGGAGCCTGCAAGATACCATCATCTGAGTCGCTCATGTCGCGCGGACGCTCTGCCAGTGCCCAACGTTTTTCCATGTAAGTACCATAAATTAGTTTCAAGTGTATCAACGGACTCAGTGTTGACGGCTTTCTTGATGCCTTAGTCCTGTTTGACTTGCCAGTGGAGCTGGACTTCCGACTTGGAGTAGGTGCTGGTGACGCGTCAGTTCTCTTTTTTGGGGCAGGACGGTCTTGGGCTGATGTTGCTGTTGCATTCTTGCGTCTTGGTTTATCTTGCTTCCAAACTGAATCTCAGGTCAGTTTGATTTATTGATGGTGTTTTCGGTCGCTCACCTGCATTTTCGATAGCTTTTTTCTTGGCACCACGCGCTCCTGTCAAGCCTTACAGTCAGTCACTTGCTGAGTTGCTTATACTCACTTACCTTGATCCTGCCGAGGTAAAGTCATTTTTATTATTACTTTAATTTCGAGACTCAGAGTGTGTAGGACTCAAAAGAATAAAGGAGCGTTGAGGAACCCGGGTGGATTTTTTTAAAAATGAGTGTGAGTGATGGTCAAACGAAAGGGAATGGGACTGAAAATTTTACTAATGCAATGTAACAGGGCAATTATGTAGCAGGTGAAGGGCGCTAAACTGTATTTTCGCCGGCGCTGTATCGGCGGCACTGTCTGTCCCTGACTTTCGGGACACTCCCCCATCAGCATCGTCGTCCACAGGTATCATCGTCCTCAGGTGACTCAGATTCCCATCGCCATCCCCAGGCATCCCAAAACACGAGCCTGTACCGGTACCACCACCATCAAATAGTATGTTTTCCCTCACTCTGCTGGCTGCAGTGCTAATATTTGTTAGGTTGATCGGGCACTAACTACCCTGCAGTGCTAATATCTGCTAGGACGATCGGGCCACCAATGACGGCAATTGGACCGTCATCCTTCGCAACACCATCATTCCGCCTGTTCTGCTCACTATGGCTGCTGTACATGGTCCCATACTACCTGCTCATCCCTCCCCATTCCGCAATGCTCAGAGTGTGCCCCATTCCAGAATGGGCTATCATCCCGCACCCTTGGTCAGTCTTTAGTAGCCGCTCGTCATAATTTGCATATATCTAAACGTACTTAGGCACCACTTAAACCTCAGTCTACTCGGCCCACCACAAGACAATCAGATCCATTGGCGCCACCTAAACCTCAGTCTACTCAGCCCACCACAAGACAATCAGATCCATCGGCGCCACCTAAACCTCAGTCTACTCAGCCCACCACAAGACAATCAGATCCATGATCCGCGCAATGGACGTAAGTCAATTGGTTTTTGAGGGCTTCAATACTAGGTGGGTTAGTGCTTGAACTTAGTATTTGTTCGGGCCATTACTTACCACACCCTTGCCCTTTTTTCATCCCTCCCATCATCCCTTCAAGTTCATCACCCACTCATATCGTTTCAGCTTCGTCACCCGTCGCTCGCATCGCTTCAGCTTCGTCACCCACTCATATTGTTTCAGCTTCGTCACCCGTTGCTCACATCGCTTCAGCTTCGTCATCCCTTCATCCCCCACTCATATCACTTCACTGGCAGCTTCTAACTATGAATGACCTGGGTTACCGCACATGTTCAGCTTGTGGGCGTGATGATCTCACTGTAACTGGTCTCAGCCAGCATATCGCAAAGAGTCGTGACCCACGTTGTCACACGCTCTACAGCCAGTCGCGATCAAGAACAAACAACAAAGCCAACTTGGTAGACGACACCGAAGCCGAGCTTGCCTTGGATGAGGGAGACTACAACAGAATTTACAATGAGGACGAGTTTGAGAGGCCTGCCAGTGCTGCGAGTGAGCACGCAGCTGATAGTGATGAGGAAGATTTTGATGAGCATCTGCTCTTCGAACCTGAATGGGAGGCTGCACCATTGCAACCTCAGGCTGATGAAGACAATGACTCGGACCTACTGGATGATGTTTTTGCCTTTGAAGATGACGAGTTGGAGGATATTCAACAGAACACTCGTCAAGACGTTGAGGCTCGCGCACAAGGCCAGTCTGGATTCGTTAGGGTGCCCTATCCTGATCCACGCGCTGGCCGAAGTATGTCGCATGGTTCAGTTGACCATGGTGCCAATGTGGCATATGGGGCGCATCTCGCCAATGACGAGAACCCATACCATCCTTTTAATTCCCAGATTGAATGGGAGGTTGCAAGATGGGCGAAACTTCGCGGAGCAACATCGACAGCATTTTCGGACCTGCTCTCGATTGATGGAGTAAGTTTCTTTTGCCGCTTCACAAGTATCACTCATTAATAGCTAATACTCCTAGGTTAGTGAACGTCTAGGGTTGTCGTTCAAGAACGCCAACGAACTGAACAAGATCATCGACTACGAACTTCCAACCGGACGCCCCAAATTCAAACGGGAGCAGGTCGTTGTCGCGGGAGAATCATTCGATGTGTATTACCGCGACATCCTCGAATGCATCAAGTCGCTGTACGGCGATCCCGACTTCGCAAAATACCTTACATTTGCCCCCGAGCGCCACTACACTGACGAAGATCAGACTGTGCGTCTGTTTCATGACATGCATACCGGAAAGTGGTGGTGGAACACACAGGTAAGCACTCGATGTGACATCAATTGGACTTCGTAACTTATAATGCCTGGCTAGAAAAAACTTGATCAGCATTGTCCAGGTGGGACCATTGTTCCAATTATCATCTCGACGGACAAAACGCAAGTCACTATGTTTCGCAACAAGTCTGCATACCCAGTGTATCTCACCATTGGTAATATCCCAAAGGAAATTCGCCGCAAACCTTCGCGTGGTGGCCACATCCTACTCGCCTATCTACCAACTACTCGTCTCGAACAAATCACCAATAAGGCTTCACGCCGTCGGTCTCTCGCAAACCTATATCACGCTTGCCTGAGTCGAGTGCTTGCACCATTGCAACATGCTGGATTAGAGGGCATCAACATGCGCAGTGGAGATGGCGCTCTTCGCCGCTGCCACCCCTTATTCGCGAGTTTTGTTGGGGATTATCCAGAGCAACTTCTCGCGACAGGAATTAAGTTTGGCGACTGCCCGAAATGTGATGTCGAGAAGGATGACACAGAAAGCAATACGGTACCGCTCCACCTACGAAAAATAGGTGAGGTGCTGGATGCACTCGCAGCGCTTGATCAAGGCAATCTTGCCTTTGTTCGCGCATGTGCCGCAGTAGGAATCAAACCTGTGATACATCCTTTCTGGGAGAAACTCCCGTTCGCAAACATATTTCAGAGTGTCACGCCTGATGTATTGCATCAGCTATATCAGGGCTTGGTGAAACACCTTTTGGCATGGTTAGAGGCCGCTTGTGGAGCCACGGAAATTGATGCTCGTTGTCGACGGCTTCCTCCCAACCATCACATTCGATTATTCACCAAGGGTATCACCACCTTATCGCGTGTAAGCGGCACCGAACATGCGCAAATATGCCGCTTCCTCCTCAGCATCATTATCGACATTCGTCTGCCCAACAATCTCAACACAGGTCGTCTTCTACGAGCTGTACGGGGGCTACTCGACTTCGTGTACCTTGCGCAATACCCTTGCCATAGCACCGAGACCCTTCAGTTACTGGACGAGGCACTAGACCTTTTTCATGAAAACAAGCTCATTTTTGTTGACCTCGGCATTCGAAACAACTTTAACCTACCGAAGTTGCACGCTGCTCGTCATTATCCTCTGATGATCACGCTGTTTGGCTCAACTGACAATTATAACACAGAGTACACAGAACGGCTCCACATCGATTTGGCGAAAGATGCCTACCGCGCTACGAATCACAAGGACGAGTTCGCCCAAATGACGCGCTGGCTCGAACGAAAGGAGAAGATTCTGCGACACCAAAAATATGTTACTTGGCGACTCGCAGGTGGCCACGAGTCTGATCCTTACCATTCACGCCCACCAGATATGACATTCGGCCATGAACAGGTCATGACAAAACACCCCAGCGCAAAGTCCGTCAGCCTCGAAAAGCTGACTACGGATTACGGGGCTACTCATTTTCGAGATGCCCTTGCACGCTATATTGCTCAGCAGAGTCGAGGAAATGATCCCGCACCACTCCACGGTCACGCACTCGATGTACTGGCACACGACATCCATTTTCCGTTCCATCGACTGCCTGTCTTTCATAAGGTCAAGTGGTGCTCGGTTGATGCCCGCGGCCATGGCGATGCACGCATTACTTTGGACAGTGTCCATGCAAAACCACAACGCAAGTTCGGCTCTCGTCTCGTTGCTCGCCGATCCGATACAGCTCTAGTGAGGCTGGGTGCGAATTCGAAGGATCTTCGAGGTGTGTAAACTGTCAGTCAGTGTTACTATGTAATACTTACTTTGTACTGATCATAGAATTCCGTGTCGGTCAAGTTCGAGTCATTTTCACCTTACCACCAAAGTCCATCCCACTGCTCTTCCCACCAACAATCCGTCTTCCTACTCACCTTGCATATGTCGAGTGGTTCACACCGTTTTCGCCAGCTCCAGACCGCAATAGCGGACTATATAAAGTCTCGCGTTCACTGCGCGGTGGTGACACCATGGCTAGTATTGTGTCGATTGCTGACATTGAGCGCAGTGTTCATCTTATACCGAGGTTTGGTGTTATGGCCCAACGAGAGTGGACGAGTGATACAGTACTCGAGGACTGTGACTCCTTCTGGTTGAACTCGTACATAGATAGATATACTTTTTCAATGTTCAGATAATGCTCAATAACTCTTACTATGTTAGAAAAAAACTCGTCTAACATTATCATCTTTAGCTACTTTCTTCATAAAAAGCTGTGATTGTGCTAATGTTACGAATTTTTGAGAATTCTCCCTAATTTGCCTTGGGAGGGTTTTCCTGATGTTGTTGCAAGTGCGCACATGTCGAATGAGGGAACCTGCACATAACCGGTGATGGCGTTGAGGTGTGCTGTGCCAAATAACTGCAGTACAAAGGGTGAGCGGTATGCAGTAAGTGGAGATGGATTGTCCGGGTCCTCGAACAAGAATGCCCATTCAACATTAAGAGATTTGGCCAGTTTGACAGGATTCACGTCGGAATTTCGTGATAAAAAGTCCATGATGATGACTAGCCCTGTGGAGTTAAAATTGCTGCGCCACTCTGAAATGCGCTGTGCAGTCTGTATAGATTTAGCTCAGGTCGCTAAACCTAGAATTAAACAGCTGACTTACGAGTGAATGTATAACTCCACCGTGAACAACCACTATGTCGAGATCGTTGTACACTGCGTTAAGAACAAGCTGCGCATGATGGAGAAGGACCTCGTCAGGAATACTCCAGATATCTTCATAGCTTCCGGCCCACAGCATTATGGTAGGGATAAAATTCTTCGCCCAGCGCTGATCCATTTGCATTGCTGGAGGTAGGTCAACTGTGCGATAGGCACTGCGTGCTTTGATGTTGTCTGGTGCAGTATCTGCATTCTGCTGGCGTGTGGTAGCAGGAGCACCACGGGCATGTAGTGCGGAAGATTTGACCTTAGCCTTTTTATGAGCTGGCGGCTTGCTGTCGACTATAGCCTGAGATGCAGTAACGGATGTCTGTACATTGTCAGAAATGAGTGCGATTAGGGCCAGAATCCTTACTGAATATGTTGTGCGCAGAATTTTCTCCTTCTTTGCTGCGTTAGTTTTGACAGGGAGCGGTGCCTCCGAATCAGAACTCATGATTGCGTCTTCTACCAGTTCCGCATTGCCATCAATCTCCATGGACCAGGACACCAAAGACTCCTCATCGTCTATGGTGCTAGCTTTCCGCTTCAAGAACATATGATTGTCTTCCTGTGTGAATGGCGCCTTAGGCTCCTGTGAGTACTGCTCCTCCGGTAATACTTGTGTCGACAGAGCCATAAGCTCATCATCCGAGTCGTCTGATGCCTCTGGTGGAGCCTCAGGCTCATCGACATCATAGTCCTCTTCATATAGTGTGACAACCTGTGAAAGAAGGAATTAGTAGATTCGGATGCTGGCAATGAATCACTGCCAATAGTACCTTAGATTTCCCCTTGTTTTTCTTGCTCCCCAAGAGAGCATCCTCACGCTCCAACGAATCGTCGATATCATCTGCAAACGCGCCAGTAAGAGTATCGTCTGCGACACCATCCGGAATTTGAGGCAAAGCTGCAGGAATCTTAGTCGGAAGCTCAGCGGCTGAAGTCGGTGCGGAGGAAGCATTGCCCTCTGAGAAAATTGATGACGGAGGTGCTCGAGTTGAAGTGCTATCAATGGATGGACATGACAGCGGCTCTGGATTTCCAGGTTTGACCCCTGAGATCCAGTTGGTCACTCGGCCACCTAATGCAAGTTTTGTGGATGTGTTGATACTGGAAGTAAGGTTTAGAAAAAAGAGTGTCGATTCAGTGAGGAGCAACATGGTAATGTGAGAGATAAAAGCCTTACGGTGATTTCCCATCAGCATGTGCATCATCACCTTCCACTTTTGACTCGGATGATTCAGTGAGCTTCTTTTGCATGTTACTGATGGCATCCCTTATCAACGTCTTTTCGACTTTCTTCGTCACCATCTTTTTCCCCCTTCCTGCAGCTTTATTTTCCACATCCCTGGCAATGTCAGTCTCTGACACTAGGTCCTCCAACATACCACTATCAGCAGGACTGTCACCACCACCGGTGTCTCCTACCACAGACTTTTTCTGAGTCACTTTGGCTTTATCGCCTTGGCCCTAGGCTTGGGCCGAACGGGAGTCGCCTTTTTCATGATCAATTCCTTCTGGGCTTTCTCCATCTCAGCCTGCAGAGCAGCAATACGCTCAACCCCCTTTTGGTGCGCTGCTTCCTTTGCTTCTCTCGCTTCTTTGATGACAAGGTCATCTGCAGCCTTTTGAGCCGGGGATCGCCTCTTGATCTTCGTGTCGAGCAACACCTTAGCAGGTCGGGCAGTTGCAGTCGATGGGCGGGTGCGCCGGGGAGCGTCTGTCATGGACATGACTGTGCAGATGGGGGAGACGGTGAGGGATAAGACTTTGCGGAAGAGGAAAAGAAAAGTAGGGTTTCAAGTTGAGAAAAAAAGTCGTAAGTCCCACCCCCAACAGCTGCCGACTGTGGTAATCGGGGTGTCACCTTTTGTTTAATAGTATCAAACTAGTACTAGTATGTGTGTTCGGCACTTCAAGTTCTCTGCCTTACTTTATTTTACAGTCAAGATGCCCATCGCTCGCAGGGACCATAGTTCTCTCCAGTTTCCCTGCGGTTACTTACACTGCGCACGTCATTTCAAGTCTCAGGGAGGGCGCAAAAAACACTGGAACACCTCACACTCAATATTCGGACCAGCTCCTGCTACCACCAGCGTCTCACACACTGCTACCACCAGCGTCTCGCACACCACTACAGTTGAAGAGCAGCCTGAAGTACTGGATGGCCACTTCTCAGCAGGTCATGACAACATCTCTGCAGGCGGTGACAATTTTCCTGCGGGTACATCTGACCCAAGTCAGGCACTTAATGAGCCTGACATTCCAGATAATTTGAACGCAGAATTTTTTGGGCCGGGTGATAGATTATACCGCAACTATCACCCAAAACTAAATGGTATGTTTCACAAAGTCCTTCCAGCTAGTTACAACTAACACGTATATCAATATAAGCTCGTCCTTGCGACGTGACAGGACGATTCCTTGCAGATGGAGCGCCCCCGACACCACCTCCAATCAAGTCACCCGATGACTGGGCTCCATATCGAAATCGTGTCGAGTTCGAGACTGCAGAATTTCTGTACACGCGCAACCAAATGTCTGCCGGAGACATCAATATCTTATTGGATCTTTGGGCTGCAACCCTCCTCAAATACAACGACAAACCTCCGTTTGCGGACCACCGTGATTTGTATAAAACTATTGACGCTACGCCAGTGGGTGATGTCAAATGGCAATCCCTCAAGGTCCAGTACACTGGGGAGAAGCCCGAAACCAATGTACTACCCTGGATGGACCAATCTCACGATGTCTGGTACCGAGACCCCCATGAGGTTATTCAGAACATGTTGGGGAATCCGGACTACGCTACAGAGATGGATTATCGGCCCTACCGTGAGTATTTGACTGATGGCGATGAACGCCAATGGCAGGACTTCATGTCTGGTGACTGGGCATGGAACCAAGCGGTACGTTGTCTTTCATTGTTTTCTGTCGCTACACATGCTGAAAATTTCAGTAGGAAACTATTTCTGAAGATCCGGATACACTCGGCTCAACGTTTGTGCCGGTTATACTCGGAAGCGACAAGACAACAGTCTCAGTGGCGACTGGTGCCAACGATTACTATCCCTTGTATGTATCAATCGGGAACGTTCGTAATAATGTCCGACGTGCACATCGTGATGCCGTTGCCATTATTGGCTTCCTCGCTATGCCAAAAAGTATGTTTCACACTACTACTATTGTTCTGCGCTAATCACAGTCAAGCAGCTACAGAGGAGCACGCAAAAGACTCAAAATTTCGGAAATTCCGTCGGCAACTGTTTCATTCATCTGTCGCCAAGATTCTCGAGAACTTAAGGCCTGGTATGACCACACCAGAGGTTGTACGCTTCGGTGACGGCCACTATCGGCGTGTAATTTATGGCCTTGGACCATACATTGCAGATTACGAGGAGCAGGTTCTACTAGCGTGCATAGTGCGCAATTGGTGTCCGAGGTATGTTCCTAAATTATCTCCAACATCCCTCTACCTTAATGCTACTAGGTGTATGTCACATCCTGACAGTTTAGACACGAAGTCACTGTGTCGTCGACGTGACCATACAGAAGCGTTAGTTGAAGAGGCAACCTATGGTGCTTTGTGGATGGAGTATGGGATTGTTGGTGACCTTGTTGTAAGTCTCGCGCATCTTTTCTATCAGAGTTGAGACTCAATCCTTTCTAGCCGTTCACAAACGATTTTCCATGCGGCGATATTCACGAACTTATCGCGCCGGATATCCTGCATCAACTGATTAAGGGAACCTTCAAGGATCACCTAGTCAAGTGGGTTGGACAGTATCTGCAACATGTCCATGGTACGAAAGAAGCGGAGAGAATTCAAGCTGATATAGATCGAAGGTGCGTCACTTTGTCTCGAGTTGATGATTCGAAAGCTCACATCATCAAAGAATTGCTGCGGTTGCTTCATTTGCAGGTCTCCGACGATTTCCAGAAGGTCGGGGATTCAAACAATGGACGGGCGATGATTCAAAAGCCCTCATGAAGGTTAGTTCACTATCACATTAACTAGGATATTGCAACTCGGCTAACAATAATTCAGGTCTATTTACCTGCCATCGAAGGTCACGTCCCAACAGATGTGGTGCGCACGTTTCGCGCATTTCTCGAATTTTGCTATCTCGTACGGCGCAACATCATTACAGAATCTACTTTAGGTCAAATTCAGGAGGCTCTTGACCGATTCCATCATTACAGGGAGATATTTGAATCTACGGGTGTTGTCTTCACGTTCTCTCTCCCTCGGCAACACTCTTGTTCCCACTATGTCCTCCTTATCCAACTTTTTGGTGCGCCCAATGCCTTTGCTCCTCGATCACCGAGACGAAACACATCAAAGCTGTCAAGGAGCCATGGAGGCGCTCGAGTCGCTACAAAGCCCTTGGTCAGATGCTGGTGACAAACCAGCGCCTCGATAAGCTCGCAGCAGCACGCATTGATTTCAAGAACCGCGGAATGTTAAACGGCACCTGTCTGTCTGCCACACTCAAGGCATTAAGTAAGTTTTATAACAAGTTACATCTTTATTGTTGGCTTAAATTTACACTAGAGCGTTTGCGCTTAAATAAGATGCCTGATGCCAGCCAACCCAATGAGAATAGCGCCACGGTGCCAGTACTCTTCAACGCTGATGTTACTATACAGGGTGATAACGAAGAGGGCGAAATTGACAATGGCCCAACACTGGTGCAGGCCCATGTCCAGTTGGCAAAGACCCCTCGTAAGCTATCTCATATTTTACAGTGAACACTCTTCTAATAGAATCGCAGAACGCAAACGCGCACACACTATACCCGAGCTATCCACGGAACTCTCTATCCCCAATCTCTACAATGTCCTCCGCCGCTTCCTATTCGAACAAGTGTACCCAGACGACCAGCACCCTCCCTCTGAAATCCCGCTTTCGAGATGTCCTCGATTTGATGGGAAACATCCAAGTCTTTAATTCTGCATCTTCGACATTCTATGCGCCCAGCGACCGCAGTGGAATTGGCGGTATGCGCCGTGAGCATATTCGTGCCTGTCCTATTTGGAGAAACGAGGCGCCCCGGTATGACTGTGTGTTTGTTAACACAGATGCAAGTGTTGAAGGGATGGTGGGCATGGATATAGCGCGCGTAATGTGTTTTTTTTCTTTCACATTCAATGCAGTTTCGTATCCATGTGCCGTTGTGCGCTGGTTTGACAAGCCAGCGACGGACCTGACCAGGACACTGGGATGTGGATTGTGACACCTTCGTTTGATACTGACCATTCTTTTTCTGTTGGAATCATCCATATTGATTCTATTTACCGTGCCGCACACCTCATTCCAGTCTATGGAGCACAGATCATTTCACGCGACATCAAGCACCATGACTCATATGATGCTTTTCGAGCATTCTATCTGAACAAGTTCGCAGACCATCATGCTTTTGAGGTCGCATCCTAGGTGTTTTGGTCTTCTCGCTCTTGTAAGTTCATTCTGTCCGCTACTCGCATATGTGGTCTAATTACTGCGTCATCAAGTTTGCAGAGGCTAAGCCACTGTGGCGCGTCAGACAGGCTATCATAGAATATATCCCCCTTCTCAACTCTATTTCAACAACGATATGAAAACACGTGTCTCGTCACTCTCGTGCTGTCCCCTCCGAGTCAGGATGACTATGGCTCTGCTGTTGCGGGTACAGGTGATGAGGTCATCATTTGAGGTGACGAAATCTGCATCTGCGTGGTCTGCGGTCATTAGTTTCAGCAAGCGCTGACGGGTGACTTGGACTTGGACTTAGTAGTAGTACTGGTAGTACTACGTGTACCCCACTTATTGCGCTTACAAAACTTTTTCTGCTTTTTGAGCTTTTTTGAATGGTGCCAACTTGTGAACTCTGAATTTGCTTTCCAGAAAGTGCATTAAGTCGGAAAAGTAACACTCCGAGAGAATTTAAGAGACAAAAAGTGAGATAAGTAAGCGGTGGTTTTCCTGATGCAGCATGGCAGAAGAATGATCATAAATTGCAGGCGTAGCCGAAGATGCAATCGTTACGCCATTAATAAGTGTGAGAACGTTTCGTAAAGCGCTTGCCAGAATTTCTGCGGATCGAGCGCCCAGAAAAACGTGATGCAGCGTGTTTCGAGAAGGCATCATATTCTGCAAGGCTTGGTTGGAGAATCGAGCGAGGGTCTAAATAATGATGAGGTAAATAGCTTGCGTGTCGGCGAGATCAACGAGAAGCCTAACATCAGGAAGTCTAGCATCTTGAAATGACCAGCCAATGGCCCAACGACGAGTTTGACCCTGAACAAACTCTGTTATAGCATAATTGTCTACCTTTTGAGTCACTAAGTCAGATAGGAGACCTCGAGGTTCCATAACCATAATGCACGCACGCTGTGTTCGCGAAAGAGGGAAACAAGTTCAGGGATTGATGACATCTTCCCAAGCATAGAAGTGTACCACCTATATGGACACGCATCAGCATGTCTGGAGCCAAACTGTCGATATAATTAGGTCACCGGCACTTCGTCTTCAACTGTAGACTTTCTAGAAAAATCCGAGCGACAAAATTTGTTTCTCCTCCTGGAGTTATCATCTCCACTTCTGCACCGGAGCAAACCTGAGTCAATTGGTTAATTCTCTTACATGAATTAACACTGTCTTTCTCACTGCATTTGGACCAAACTCCTTGAAATCAGCTGAACGTGAAACGTCCTCGGCGCTGCTATAAAACGGTGGGTTACACATGGTGAAGTCGAAATCCATTAGACTTGTATGTAGTAGCTGAAGAATAGGCCCATCAACCTGTACACGCTCGACAGCAATGCGACTATCCATAGAATTCTTGGAGACGTTTTGTTTGGCAAATTGGACGGATCGTTCGTCGATATCTGAATCACATGTTCCCGTCACATTTCGAAAGCATAACGTTATGACACACATACCAGTGGCCACGAAGTTCCAAGTATGTTCGATACCACAAGCCAACAACGGATAGATTGCTGAAGCACCAGTACCACTGAGTAATGTTTGTTCCACTGCATTCAAACCAGGAATAATGTGACTCACATGTCAAGCCCTCTGACGGTGGCGGAACCGCAATTTGATTTCACTATGTCTTGTAGCCAAAGAACATAGTTTAGTCTGTGTGACAGATTTCCAGCATTTTAGCCTTCCTGCGTCGATCTTCTAAAAGGTGAAAGCACCTGTTCGGCACCTCGTGTGCGTCTGGTGTGAGATAGATATGAGTACGCAGAAAAAAGACTTACTGGAGGGCAGAGTCTATCGTCCGGCAGGGTTAGTGAAAGACCATAGTCAAGACGAAGGAGTGCTTCTGTTAAACGCCTGCCCTCATTAGTGTACCGCGACAAACAGAGCTTAAATTTATCACTGCTCACTTTTGTGCGGGAAGGCTTTTGAAATCTATTGCACTCGATCCTGTATGGTTTATGAATACGCTGGATAATTTTAGTATCTCTCTGTAGCTTTCGCCTGATGAACGCGTACTGTGGTCTGAGGGGAGGGTAGCGCCTTGCAAGGTCAGCAAAATCAGGAGGTTTGTTGTACGGATTGCGAGGATGCATGTAATGTAACTAGGCGTTCGCTTTGCGAACTTATGACCTTGCTCCGTTTTAAATTTGATCCGCTGGCCAAATCGTGTAAGAGTGATTATATTTATCGTCGTCGTCTATCATTTGTCTGACATCAGGTGATTGACACCCCCCAACATGGGTGACCTTGCTTCGCAAGGTAACTCTGTCTCCTAGTATTTACGGTCCCTTTCTCACCACTATACCTGCTTCATTTCACTGCATTTTTGGTCTTCAGATTGATAAAAGGAACTTTTGACGTTATGATGAATGCATCTCGCCAGAAATCGATGTTATCCGCCGTGTAGTTGTGTTCACATTCAATGCCTACACTGCCATATGTTCTTGCCAAAGATGCAATCTATCTATTGGATGCGCGGACAGCTATCGGTCCTATCAATATTGGCGATGAAGACAAACCTGTGCATTCCTTTGTTAACAATGTGCGTGCTTCGTATTTCTGCTCGTTCATCCTCGAGGTTCGAGATATGGACGTTTTCGAGTCACGACATGTTGCCAGCCCTCAAGAGAACCTGCCAGTTCGCTGTTATTATCCAGGACATCCGCGTTTCACCCAAACCCTTTTGCCTGTCGCCGGCCAGTAGCATCACTGGAGATCGGTGCAGCATGACTGTCAAGACATCGCCTTGGGGAACTTTAGACACAGTCGGTTCGCCCAAGTCAAAGTCCTCAATACATTTAAAAGCTATTGCATCCTCCGCATCAACTTTGCGTTCCATCCAAATGCTCGTCGTGGATAGTGAGCTCAAGACGGTTGCCTCTGCGACCTGCATATGCAACTACATTTAACGGTTGTCAAGGATCGACGTTAGCACGGACCTTTGAATGGATATATTTGTTTATGGTCAATTGCACACAGCGCCATCGAGGATGAGAATATGGGGAGACACAATATGTCTATTCGCAGAGACGAACGAAGGACAAGATTGTACTAATAGTACATTTCCCGTGTTGCTACTGTAAACACGACATATCGTCGAAGAGCCGATCAAAGGGGCGTCCTTGTATCAAAGATGAACACACATGTTCACAATAGTTGAAAATCAACTTCAAGAGCTCGATCACACCACCTCAACCCCGTACACGTTCATGCGCCTCTTGCCATGGCACCCCTGTGGCTTCGTTTGTCACCAGTATGATGTCCACATGGGTTGATTCTTACCTAGAATTTTAAATATTTCTTCTTCTGTCTCAGACGCAACAATGTTACCTGAAAGCGATGAAAACGGGGCAAACTTTGCTGCAGCTGCAGGACACACCTGCAGAAATCTTGACACGTCTGTTCCGGGGGTCCCGAACCACACCTGCATACAACCCTCGTTGGTTGAGAGAATACCCGAGAACATTCGCCTTCATCCTCATGGCCCGATTGAACTGTAGTAGCACATGTCTACACCATTTATCATCCAGGAGTTGTTCAAATTGCTCACGATATCGTCACCCTGAAATTAAATGAACACGTCGTAACAGTGAACGTAGACCGATGAGTTGCTTACCGTGTAGTAAAGGAGGGCTGCTCCTCGGTTCTCCCAAGGAACACACAAGATATCGATGCGTCGACGCTTTGAGTCTGGTTCGGGCCGTTTACACAATCCACGATAACATAATTCAAGAGCGGAAAAATCATCAGGCAATGCTAAATCCTCTGTCAGGATCTTTGCAGCATGCAGACGGGCAAGCAGCTCCGGAAGAAGACCTAAGCCAATGTTCTTGGTAAAATGTTGTCAAGTCATGAGAAGACAAAAACGTTCACCTGCATGTGTCATCCCATCTGAGGTTGGTCGGGTCACTAGAATATCAATGTCGCCACAAGTAGCTTTGCCCCTATTGAAGAACATGAGGGTAAGGCAAGCAAAAGTAAACCACCACAAACCTTCTGAAACTACCCATGATATCAATGTAAAGATGCTCGTCGAGCTCGAGAGCTGTTTGTGTCATATCGACATCAATAAGTCGTGAAAACCCGTAACGTAAGACTTTACCAATGGGTTTAATCAAATTGAAGATACTCTCTGCTTCACTGCGTGGCATTCTATCATTGATATCTGGCAACAAGGAAATCAGTCATGTGCCGATACAAGTGAACACGAAGAGCCGACCATCGTAGAATTTTAAACCAACTTCTTGCACCTGAGATAACTTGATGCCACCTTTCCGAGCTCGAACATCATCTAGCGTCCGGCATCCGTTATTATACCACATGCGAGCTATTTGTCGACCTGTGCCAACGGATCAGAAGATTAACAAATGAAGAGCGGTACTTTCCATACCGACTCCATATATCCCCTGAAATAAGTTAATGGCTTCGACATCATCCGTTTTTTCGTAGCTGATGCGTCTCAAATCACCAGTTTCGATGATTTCCATAATCTGGCAAAATACGTTTTATGGAAGTATAACATTCATGTGCGGCAGTAAGCACATACCTTTCGGGCAGTCTTCTCGCCGACGCCGTTGATTGACCGCGCCTCGTTGAATGATTTGATTTTCTTTGGATAATTGCGCAAAGCACGGATACCTACCAGGGTCGTCAATACTGATAATTCCAAGGTACAAGTATTGCGTACATTTCGAGTAGCTGTACACTCGCCAATGATCATCTTCACCTAGTTTTGCCTTGTGTAACTCCATAAGTTCCTCCAACTGTTTGTGTGTTCTATCATTTCAGGTAACGCCGACTGCAGATGCAAACCTTTTCAATGATATCTTGATTCACGCATTCGCGCTGCTCAGGTTCCTTTCGGTCACACGTAAAACCCTTCAGGGACGCAGTATTCAAGATTAGTAGTTCAGGGACTTCGAATGTAGCCACTCACGCGCTTTAGGACCTGTGCTGGTCTCGAAAAAAAATCTTCTTGATCGCTCTCGTCGGTCTCGCTCTGTTCAAAATCTCTCTGAATATGATTGAATTGATATCTTCTTGTTTGACGTTACGACTCACAGCTTGATCTCGTTCAGCCCTGGCCTTCTCATAAAACTCAGCAAGAGGATCATCTGTATTAGAACGTGGCTTGTGGATGTGATTGCTTTGGTAATTATTATGGGTTGTACTTGATGTTTTCCGAGTGGGAACGAATGTAAGAGGTGCAGGAGGAAGAACGACTAGCTTTGGCGCTAGATCCTGTTGATTTTCAGTTCGATCTTCAGTGAAGGAACTAAGAAATGTGACCGTATGAAAATATAGTCGAAGGGGAACCGAGAGTGGACGTACGAAATGCGGCTGAAATCTCCATTAAGGTCGTTTGCAGCGGTACTTACTTGGCCTTTTTCTTGAACCAGTTTTCCCTGTCCTCTCTTCTGCCAGCTTCTACCGGCATGGATGCGTTGAGGGAATGCCGCGTGTAAGAATTCGAAATCGAGAAGACTTTCATCATCATCTGTGGCATTAGCCTTGCCTTTCGTATCATTTGCTTCCTCGTCGCGTTTGCCCTTGAGCTTGTAGCCCAAACGACCGTACCCGGATATCACCCAACTCCAAGTGACCGTTGGAATATTATCAGGGATCTCTTTCAACGACTTTAGTCCGAGGGCTTTCAGTGTCGGGCGAGTCGTCGCATCCGTCACGATGTGAGTCACGGTGGTAGGGTCGTACAATGGTACCAAGGTGCCGCCATGCTTGACAATCTGAAAACCTTATGTTAGAAACGTATCTGAATCGTTCAACGGCATTGTACGTGATGCACGTCAGCGTTGAAGACGGAGCTTCTTCGCCACAACGTGATAGCGCGTAAATAGCGGACCGGGATGTACGGAAATAGTCACCAGCCACAGGGGTCAGGGAGAGCAAAACATGGGAAACTCACATAGTCCATACGACCACGTGTCTGGACGCCTGCATACTGCATATCCCCACCCACATACAATATTTGCTTGCCCTTGAGGTAATCGGACTTGCGCTTCTTTGGCAAGTCAAGATTCAACTTCTGCGCATATTCGAAAGGAGTAACGAGCGCTGGTTTTCCTTTGCTCTTTTTGTCTTTATTTTGCTTTGAATCATTGGTTTTGTTCCTTGAGCTGCTCACAGTCTTCCGGGCCTTTGAATATTTAACGTCTGGCACTCTAGATGAGGATGGAATGCCCTCTGGATCTGATGGTAACGAAGCTGGGATACTCGAGTGGCGTGATGCTCCAAGGGGGGAATTACTGGGACTTGTGATATTGCTGGTACTGGCGGCTGAGAGTTCTAGTAACTCTGACTGTGGACTGAGCATGCTAAGTTCTGGATCGAGGGACTGCAGCCTCTCGTTCTCAATTGATGCCTCCTCATTATGATCTAAAATGCGAGCTTCCGGACCGTTGCCATTTGTGGGCTCTTGATTGATGCCATCGTGTGCCACTATCTTAACAACTCTTGATTTGCAGGTCCGTGTAGTGGAGTCATGGGGCAACAGTCTCGCTGGCGACAAATGTTTGGCGTCACTATTGCCCTCGTGGTGCTTTGCAGGCTTCGTGATATGAGATCCAGATCCAACTACGGGTAACTGGGCTGCCCCATATTCATGAGTGCTTGATCCAGCGTTGCGGGTCAGGTTTTGCGAAGAGTTCGCAATGGACAAAGCATCGACCGGTCCGAGGTTAGTATGCCGGCTAAGAGAAGATGATATAGTTTCGATTGGAGCACCTCCATTTCGGCGGGCCAGGAATTGCGGAACTTGGTTGGCACCTTTGCTTCCTGACTCAATTAAAACTATAGTGCTGTGTCCAAATGTGTGTTAGTTGAGGGATGATCTGATTAATCCGAAATTGAGATAAGGGTCAACACAACGTACTTTGCAGCATGTCCAGCATTGTCACTACGTGAGAAAACAGTAGGTAGAATGGGTACTCCTGACGTGGTCACATTGGGAATCTCGTATAGCCTTGGCTTCTTCCCCTTAGCTGGAGGTTCGGGTTCTGCGAATTTTCGCTTCAATCTGTAGAATATATAATCTCAGATTTGCAAGAGCTGCGTGAGAAGGTAAACGAGACGCACTGCCCGGGCACTTCTTTGTCAGAGATATACTGTCCACCCCCTTTCATGAAAGAAGTGAAAAATGGTCCGGAGGGTGTATTAACTTTATGTGGGTGACCTTGAGCGGGAATAATGTGATCGATAACATGACTCCTGTAATTATCATACTCAGGGGGACTAGTAGAAGGGAGCCAATCGAATGGTGCATGTACCTGTTCCTATGGAAATCTTCCAATCGTGCACGAATATATTCATCCACGTCCTCGTCAGGAAGGTTCATGTGTTGTTCCTGCTCAGCGAAAAATGCATCGATGTCGTCCATAGTGAATTACGACGGGGATGGCTAGTTGGTGGCAAACAGAAAAGGGCATGAAGTACACTCCCTGTATGGAGTGTTAGGTATGGACGTTTGTACGCGTCTTCATAGAAGGCAGTGGACACAAAACACACCACATGGGACGTGCACGTGATCGGGGTCTCGCGTCACGGTCGCGGGGATGCTTCTGTGGAGGTAAAATCAAAGATTATTAGCCTTCTTCCGAATCAACATATTACATCTACCGTCGGACAGGCCTGACCAGCTCCCGTTGACAGATTAGCAGGAGCCTTCAAGAAATTTTGCGCGCCAAGAAAGTGACAGATAACGTGAACCACTGCTGGCAGGTGTGCTGTCAGTATGGCTACAATGCGGCAACTCGGGGAGGGTGATAAATCCACGAACTGAATCATCCCGGTGGGGGATGCTCACGGTCAGCAGCCTGTCAGATAAATATTATCGTGACTCACCAAAAATGTTTTGTTATCATGATTGTAGGACAAAAGATATCCCCAGGCCAGCATGAACACTGAGGAAGCTGAATCGGGGTGAATTTGCTTCCCATGTGGCACTAAAGTAGCCCTGGGCATCGACTCAGACGATGGCAGGCTTGCCAAAAACAAGGGCAAGCAGTAAGCGCCGTCCACTAATGAGGCATCTTTTTTTACACAGTGAGAAGCGCATCATTGACTTGCCCAATGACAGCTATTCAGTAATGAAAGTCTAGTCCGACGCGGGCCTAAGGCGCTTTTGTTGTGGCCGTATCAATTGCAATTGAAGATCTACTCCGAAGATGGTATTTCTGCCTGTAAGTTGATATTGTCCCTTGTCATTTTACAGGTCAGCTGAGGCGGTTCACTTTATCACGTAACTGTTGTCATCTTTTCCTCTCGAAAATTGCCATCTTTCCTCACTTGATACTTATGCATCACCCATGCCGCTCTTCGGTCTTTTGCTTTCCTCTCTCGAGCGAGCGTGCCTGCGTGGCCTTTCTACTCCCCATCAACCGGCCAACCTTCTTTTCCCTTCCTGGCAGCCGCTGACTTCAACCTGACTTCAACCCACCGACCAGCTCGCAAATACAGCTTTTGACACTCCCCATTTACCAACACTGACACGTTATTGTGGGATCCATTCCCATCTCAACCTGGACTCAAAAAGGCCGCTTGTTTTTGACCTCGTGTTTAGCCTTCTACCCTGTTTCGCTGAGTTACTAGCGGTATAAAACTCAGGAATTGCGGCGGGGTCCAATTTCGGCGTCTTGCCAACAACTATCACATCATATCAAGTTGTCGCGCAGTCGTATCTCATCGCTGCGACATCCCGTTTATGACCTTCGAGTATACTGAGAATATGCCGCACGGTCAGTTTGATGCTTATATTATCAGGCTGCATTCCTCACCCATTCTTCAATTCACAGATGAAGACGATGCCTCTGACGCGTCATCTGACGTGACCGAACTTGAAGAACTTGACTTTCCGGACCACTTTTTCGAAAGGGACGGAAGGCTCTTCCATTCTCATGGTAGCTTGCCGTATCCATTGCCTGTCGACGGGCCGGAGCAAGCAGTAGGTCCCACGTAACCCCTACAATTAAAATCGCTAACTTTTCATTAGAGATTAAACAGTATTCATAGAATCTTGCGCGATACCGTCGAATCCCTTTACCTTGGCCCAGTAACCGATGTGCTCAGTGATGCGCGCACCAGGCAAAGACGTGTACTCGATTTGTGCACTGGGACAGGTCAATGGTGCGCGATCTATTGATCAACTTCCGATGTGCTTCTCTTACGCTAACCTCACTGCAGGCCGATGGATATGGCCAGATCATTTCCCTTGTCAAGATCTACGGGTTGATATCGGTGCGCTTGCTTATACCCGCGTAAGATGAATAGTTTCAAATTATCCCTCCGCCCAGTCCCGATTGCCACTAGACGCCCCTTGCCACACGTGCAATTCGAGATCCATGATATCACAGAACGTTTCAGATGGAACAATGGAGCTATGGACTTTGTCCATGCTCGTAATATCGATCTCGCTGTACGTTGTTCATTGATTACCACGTTGCTTTTATCCATTGATCATGAATAGATTACGGATTACCCAGAACTCCTCCGGGAAGTTGCTCGGTTGCTCCGTCCCGGCGGTCTCTTCTTCTCCGGCGAGATTGGGCGCTACATCGACGTTGCTCATGGGTCTTCCTTCGACCTTGCTCGCCAAGCACCTCATGCGCGAGACTTCTTTCAGGCGGTTAACCACTCCCTCGAGCTCCGTCACTTGGTTCCCATCGCCGATAGGGTCCCTAGTTTTATTCAGCAATCTCGTCACTTCACTGTGCCCACTATCCAGACGTTCCATATTCCGTGGGTGATTGGCACCGCAACCCGGTCATGAAGCGTGTCGGTAAGATGTATTTGGCCGCCCTAAAGGATTTCGCGGAGAGCCTCAAACCCATGCTTCGCGAGGCAGGGATGACCCAACTCGAGATTAACACCCTTGTCACTGGGTTTATTGAGGACATAGAACGCGTCCCTGGCCTGGTTGGGGTCTACCATACGGCGTGGGCGAGGAAGTTGTAAAGGATCTTTGGTGTTTGTTTTCTAAGTGCTTTCTTGTGCTTTTTGTGAAATGCTGTCTCGTGCTTCTTGATGACTGCTCTCTTGGTTGCTTTCCTGTTTGTTGTGCTTTTGCTCGTGCGCGCTCATGTTTTCCTACCTACCTGTTTTCGATTGCTTTCGTAGGTTGTAAATGCAATGCGATGTGTTTGTGATACTCAACTAGTACAACCTAAATGCCTTCCGATTGATATCGTGGTCACGGTGCAGACATCAAAATTTCGGACGAATGCGGAATCTACCGTTTGTCGAGCCAACTCCGCTCTGCAACTTGAGTCCAAAGTTATTCATTCTGTCCAAGACTCATCTCTAGAAATGCTTGCAAGACGCGCGTCGGCCTTCGCGCGCAGCTTCGCCACTGTTGTCGACAATGCTGGTGTCAAGGTTGCAGCCATCGATAACGGTCAACCCACCACCGCTGTCACCTTCCTCGTCAAGGCCGGCAGCCGATACGAGCCTAAACCTGGTGTCGCGCATACGCTGAAAAACTTTGCTTTCAAGGTGCGTGTTATATTCTATTATGAATACGCGCTCTGAAGCAGTCTTCTTAGAGCACTGCCAAAAGGTCGGCATTGGGTACGGTCAGAGAGAGCGAGTTGTATGGCGGCGTCCTTTCTGCAAGTCTGTCCCGTGAATATTTGGCACTTACTTCCGAGTTCTTGCGCGGTGATGAGTCCGTTTTCTTACATGCAGCATTTTATTTGTTGATTTTAATGACTATGACTGGTGTTTACAGGTCATTCTTCGTCGACCTCATGTCTTCCTTCCTCACGTCTGCCAAGTTCCAGCGACATGAGTTCCAAGAGTATGTTCTTCCCGTAGTCGAAGCCGAGAGCACCGCTGCCTCGCAAAACCCCGCAACGCACGCACTCGAACTCGCACATTCACTCGCCTTCCGTTCTGGTCTCGGTTCCTCCCTCTTCGCGTCCCCACATAGTCATGTCTCCCTCGATGACGTCAAGGAATTTGCAACTCGTGCATTCAGCCAAGGCAACATCGCTGTTTTGGGTACTGGCATCGACTCAGCTGCGCTTACACAGTTAGTCGAGAAAGCGCTTGCAGGCGTGTCTGTTAGCAATGTGGCTGTGGAGAGTAAACCATCGACGTACTTTGGTGGTGAGACACGGCTAGAGTCGCATGGGGGTCTTGAGACTGTGTTCATCGGTTTTGGTGCTGCCGGCCCTGCGGACCCTGCGCTTGCTGTCCTTTCTGCGCACCTCTCGCCTCAGCCATCTGTCAAGTGGTCACAGGGCCTTTCGCCTATTTCAGCTGCCATTCCGCAGGGCACGTCGGTGCAGCCTGTTCTTATGCCATACTCGGACGCAACACTTTTCGGTCTGCTTATCCAGGGCTCGAGCGCCGGAGGGGTGAAGGAGGCTGCCAAAGTTGCTACTAAGGCATTGAAGGAATCGACAGACCTCAAGGGTGATGCGCTTAAAATGGCTGTAGCTAAAGCCAAGTTTGCTGCTGCTAGCTCTCTAGATGGTCGTGATGGGATTTTCGGTGCTCTCAGTACCAAGGTGCGTCTCTGGCGTTCGGCCGTGGTTTTAGGACCTTTCTGAAGATGCTTTTCATGATTACAGGTCTTTGCAAATTCGAATGCTTCAATCGAAGCTACGCTAGCATCAATAGACAAGGTTGATGCTGCCGCATTCTCGAAGGTGTGTGCTTTCTTTTTCGGTTTATGTGGAAGATATATTGAAACACGTATTTAGTCTGTCGCTTCGATCACGAAAGCCAAGCCTACGTTTGTTGCTATTGGGAGTGTGCAGGCATTACCGTTCGCAGATGAAGTTGGCCTTTGAACTAGATGATAATATTCATAGACCATCGCTTTACATTATGTGCTAGCGAAAAATATCCTTTACTTTGTGTTTGGAAACCTTGAGATACCACTGTTTTTCTAGACTGGAACTCAGAAGCACCGAAGCTCTAGAACATGAACAAGCATGTACCAGACTAATTTTAATCACCAGGTATACGTACATATACACATGGTTGCTTGATCACACGTTATAACATTGTCGTTTTATACCTAGCCTGAGCGGCTTATCTGAGGTGGTACTTCATCTCACACAAAAGCGCAGTACTGCTGTACTCTCCTGCGCCATAATTTACTGCTGGCAAGTTGACGTCACATTTGATTGACTCATCAGGCGGCATCTATTACTTGGTTTGCAGCCTCGACTTACTGGCCTCGGGTCGACGTTGATGTCTAATATCCCGTTGCACTCTATCGGACGCAAAGGAAAGACACGAGCCGGGTACGTTCCTCTGAACGACGCCCAGGATACCGATATGCCCACAGGCGTTCTGAGAGCTGCTGCGACACGCGGCGTAAACTTGACCGTAAAGGCAAAAGGTAAACAGCGCGAACGATACACAGACGCAGACGAGTTCGATGAGGAGGCAACTTTACTTGGGAACAGGGATAGTACGCTGGAGAGATTGAAGAGGGAAGTGTAAGTGAGCAGTCGAAACAGCCGTCCAGGGTAAGTTGTCTGTCTACCTACAAAGCACCACAAGTCTTACGTGGAGACAGCGTTCATCGAGACAGCGTCCGTCGAGTGCACATAAGACACAAGACAAGTCCAGGACAATACCATTCAGACCAGCAGGTACGTGTCTTCTCCATGCATGTTTTATGAAGCTATTCACTCAACTTTGCAGAAAAATTACAATCCAAGTTCCCGCCTAACCTCGTACGGAATCAGAAATACAACATATTCACCTTCTTTCCTATCGTCATATACGAACAGTTTAAATTCTTTTTCAATCTCTACTTCCTTCTCGTCGCTCTTTCCCAGTTCGTTCCAGCACTCAAGATCGGTACGCTTATTCCTCTCATACTGGACCTGTACCGCCTGATATGTGCCCAGGATTCATTGTTACATATGTCGCACCCCTCGCATTTGTGCTCTGCGTCACAATGGGCAAAGAAGCCTATGATGACTACAAGCGCAATCTCCGCGACCGTGAAGCAAACTCCCAGAAATACCTCATTCTGGTTCCCTCCTCCGACAGCGGCCCCGCACACACGATCTGTCCCTTCCTCTTCCCTCAAAGTTGGTGACCTCGTTGTACTGGAGAAGAATCAACGCGTACCGGCAGACATGGTCCTTTTGCGAACGAGTGATGCTTCTGGAACGTGTTTTATCCGGACTGAACCAGCTCGACGGAGAAACAGACTGGAAGCTTCGTGTTACAGTTCCTGCTACTCAGAAGCTTGTCGACGACAGTGAACTACTAGATTTGGATGCAGAAGTTTATGGTGCGTGCCCGCCAATCCTGACCTCTTCACCTCTAGATGTTCATTTGAATCCCAGCCGACGCTCCGATTAAGGACATCCACACTTTTATTGGGACATTTACGATACACACGCCCCGCACGCACTCTGATCATGATGTGCCCATGGTACAGGTCCCCACTGTCGAGCCCCTGTCTGCGGAGAATATCTTATGGAGTAACACGGTATTAGCTGCGGGTTCTGCTGTTGGATTCATCGTATACACGGGGTCTGAGACGCGCGCTGTCATGAACACGAGCCATCCTGAGACAAAGGTCGGTCTGCTGGATCTGGAGATCAATAGGCTTGCCAAGGTAGGCACGTGCGTATTTGTGTAAAGGGGAGTATCCATGACAGTCCACCTACAGATTCTTTGTGCGGTGACGTTCGCGTTGTCTCTTGGACTCGTTGCCTTGAATGGGTTCAGGGGACAGTGGTATATCTATGTGTTCCGTTTTCTCATATTGTTTTCGTCTATCATTCCCATCAGGTATGTCTCCCCTCTTGGAAAGCGAGGAGCCCATGTTTTCTCCTCCCTATTGTTTCTCTCGTGTGTTATGCTCACTATAAACTTAGCTTGCGTGTAAACCTTGACATGGGCAAGACGGTCTATGCACAGCAATAATGAACGACTCTGAGATTCCTGGCACAATCGTCCGCACGAGTACACTGCCTGAGGAGCTTGGACGCATAGAATACCTTCTTAGTGACAAAACTGGGACCCTTACACAAAATGGTGCGTAAAAGTTGTTCTTCTCTCTTCTACCTATCACCTCCCTCTGTCAATTCTGTTTTATATCTTGTGTGTGCACATGGATGGCTGACGGACATTCTAGAGATGGAGATGAAGAAGTTGCACATGGGAACAATGTCCTACGGTTTTGACAGCATGGACGAAGTAGCTCATCAGCTTGCGAGTGCATTTGGTGCCGATCAAGGTACGTATTTCGCATATCTCCTCTTTTCAACACGGATAGACTGACAGTCGGGAAATGCAGCTCATGTGAGAAGCAATTCAATGGCTACAGGCGCACAACTTGCCATGAGAGGACGGAGGGATATGTCATCGAGGCTCCGAGACGTAGTACTTAGTCTTGCACTTTGCCACAATGTACGTCACCTCCCTTTCCCTCCTTTCTGGCTCACCCCTCGGAACCTAGGTCACTCCAGTCACCAACGATGATGGTACCTTGACCTACCAAGCCTCCTCCCCAGATGAAGTCGCAATCGTCAAGTGGACAGAGAGCGTCGGCCTCAAGCTTGTCTTCCGCGACCCGCACACGCATGGAGCTCCAAACGCCCACCAACGCACGTCTCGCCTACGAAATCCTCGACATATTCCCCTTCACAAGCGAGTCCAAGCGCATGGGCAATCGTCGTGCGAGACGCACACAGCGGCGAGGTGGCTTTTCTTGCAAAAGGGCGCTGATGTTGTCATGGCTCGTATCGTGCAGCGAAATGACTGGCTAGAAGAGGAGACAGGAAATATGGCGCGCGAGGGCTTGCGCACACTCGTCGTTGCACGTAAGCGACTGACATCACAGCAGTATGCGGCGTTAAGACTGCGCATCATGCTGCTAGCATCCGGCTTGATGGACGCGGCGAGGCGATGATCTCTGTCGTTGCGGAGCACCTGGAGCATGACCTGGAGCTGCTTGGCCTGACTGGTGTCGAAGATAAGTTGCAGGACGAGGTAAAAGGGACACTCGAGCTGCTCAGGAATGGGGGAATCAAGATTTGGATGCTTACAGGTGATAAGATCGAGACGGGCGCGGTGTATTGCCATTTCGACAAAACTGGTGGCGCGGAATCAGTATATTCATGAGGTAGCGAAGTGTGAGCTTCCTGATTCATGTGTTTTTGTTCTGCTGCTCATGCTTCGAGTTTGTAGTAAAGACTTCTGATCAAGTCAGGGATGAGCTGGAGTTCTTACAGTCGAAGCTGGATTGCTGTCTAGTAATTGATGGCGAGTCGTTGCAGGTACTGCTTTCTTTGGACACGTATTTGTAATGCGCTCATCCCATCCACCCAGCTCTGTTTGAACCTGTACAAAAACGAATTCATCGAGATCACAACCAAGCTATCAGCCGTCGTTGCTTGTCGATGCTCTCCTACCCAGAAAGCAGATGTTGCAAGATTAATCCGACATCACACCAAGAAACGGGTTTGCTGTATCGGAGACGGTGGTAATGATGTCAGCATGATACAAGCCGCTGACGTCGGTGAGTCCTCAATACTGATTCCAGACGGAATTCTTAAAAACTTGATACGTGCAGGTGTCGGTATCGTTGGAAAAGAAGGAAAGCAAGCATCCCTCGCCGCCGACTTCTCCGTCACCCAGTTCAGCTACCTCACGAAGCTCCTCATGTGGCACGGCCGCAACTCATATCGCCGTTCTGCAAAGCTCGCTCAATTCGTCATCCACCGCGGCCTCATCATCTCGATCATGCAAGCCGTGTTCTCAGCTATATTCTATTTTGCCCCGATCGCGCTGTACCAGGGGTGGTTGATGGTAGGGTATGCGACAATTTATACCATGGCGCCTGTTTTTTCGTTGGTTCTGGATCGTGATGTGAACGAGGATCTTGCGTTGATATACCCGGAGTTATACAAAGAATTGACCAAGGTTGGTGGTTGTGTGAATTGGTTTATGGCTTGTTGACAGCTGGGTGTAGGGACGTGCCCTATCTTTCAAGACGTTCTTCATGTGGTTGATGATTAGTGTATACCAAGGTCAGCTTGTTTATTCCATTACCAGATTCCCTGAGTTGATTGTCATTTTTTGCAGGCGCAGCCATCATGATCATGTCCCTCCTCTTATTTGAAACCGAGTTCTTGAACATCGTGTCCATCTCTTTTACGGCTTTAGTTATCAATGAACTCATCATGGTTGCATTAGAAATCACGACCTGGTAAGGACTACAATAACTCCGGATGGACACGCTCTGATCCCTAGCGACAGGCATATTTATATGGTCATTTCGGAAGTAGTCACCCTTTTCTTTTATGTTATCAGCATCGCTTTCTTACCGGAGTATTTCGGTGCGTGTTCCCATCAGCCATTGCAATGGTTGTTTATCGTCCCTTGCAGACCTCGATTTCGTCGTCGTGTCCACTCGTTTTGCATGGAAAGTAGCTGTCATCGTAGCAGTTAGCGCGCTTCCCCTGTATGTCATCAAGCTCATCCGTAGTAGAGTCGCTCCGGCAGCGTCCGAGCAAGTTGCTATAATACTTATCCATGTGACTCGACGATCACTCCAATCTGACATCTTTATAATGTATTTCTGCTTGTTTGATCGCAAACATCGATGCAAATAGAGCAAAAAGAGAATAGCACTAGGGAGCGTATCAAGAGGAATCAAAATGAAAGACTAGCTACCCGCCAGCGATATTCAAGTTAACCTGTGTGAGGGGGCGGGGATGAATTAATATGATTCACGAAAGAATTTGGAAAGAATGTCCCTGGTGCCTGCCAATCAGAAGTGTGATTCACGCCTCCCCACAATGAAGGCCCAATTGGAGGACGAGGTGAGCCAAACCCTGGGGGCGCAGGTGCGCCCCAAGGAGGCCGGTTATCTCCAACAACGGCCCGTGGACTGGTATTAGTGCCCCACGACTGACCCACTGCACCCGGTGCGATGCGCCGTCCTGGTGGAGGAACTACCTCGTCATCATCAGCTGCAAGAGCAGAAGATCCAAGAATGCCCTTCGGACTTGGAGAACGACGACTAGGCGGAACCTGAGCCTGACCCAGATGTTTCCCCCCGTCATTGGCCTCGCAATAGGAGCGGGGGGCGCAATAGGAGCAGGTGGTGCAATGGGAGCGGGTGGTGCTATTGGAGCAATAGAAACCGGCCGCGCGACAGGCCCTGGTGCCAGCATAGTTGGCGAGCCAAGGAGATTCTGCGAAACCTTCGAAGGTGGTCCAATGGGTATTGTCGGAGCAAGAGGACGGCTAAAGCCTGATTCGAAGGAAGTAGGCGAACCAAAATTACGAGGAAGGGCAAGATGTACCGAGGTTCGGAGGTGGTCCCGGTGGTGGCATTGATGGTCCTGCACCGAATAGTCCAAATGGCGGTGGAGGTTGCGCAAAGGGTAGACGAGGGGACAACGCGCCAGGAAGTGGAGGCATTATGCCAGAGGAGTGACAGGATAATGAGCAGTGGTGGACGGAGGAAAATGATTTTGCACGGAGGGTGCCACGGGAGTTGCAGGTTGAGAATTAGACAATATGGAACGCTGCGGCTGCTGCTGGGATGTCTGCTGCAGCGACGGGCCGTGGCGTACTTCCGGGACGGAGTAGGAGTGACTGGGATGGGCTTGCTGAGAATTTTCTTAGAAGGACCATTGTTACTCTGAGTGCGTTGCGTAGAGGGACGGGGAGAGGTTGGTGGACGGGTGTGCTTGCCAGCTCGTTGCTGCTGGGCAACCCGTTCTTTTTCCCTTTCCGCTTTCTCCTTCTCCTCCCTTTTCCCTTGGCAAGCTTCCTCTCACGTTCTTCCCTCTCTTGTTGCTCCTTTCGGGCAGCATCTCGGGCAGCTTTTTCAGCAGCCGCCTTTGCATCCCTCTCCTCCTTGGCCTTACGCTCCTTTTCTTCCCGCTCACGGCGCTCCCTGCTTGACCCTCTCTTCCTTTTCCTTGCGTTTACGTTCCCGCTCGGCTTCTCGCTCCTTTTCCTCTGCAACACGTTTACGACGCTCCTCCTCTTTACGTTGTTTCTCTTCATCTGCAGCTTTTCGGGCAGCTTCACGACGAACACGTTCTTCTTCGCGTTTCTTCCGCTGCGCGTCCTCTTGTGCTGCCTGCTTGGCCTTGGTAGCGGCTTCCTCTGCTGCCTTCTCTGCTGCTTTGGCAGCTCGCTCCTCGTCTCGAGCTTGTTTTTGGAGTCTGAATAATCGTTTCATTTCGAGTACGAAGGAGTGAATAAATGCAGAAACGCACATTTTCTTAGCCTTCTTCTTCTGGTTCTGAGTTGCTTCTTTGCCTCTCGCTCCTTTGTGAGCTTGTCCTCATCCTCAAGTTCGCGCAGAAGTTGCATTTGACGTTCCTGTGCAACTTTTTCCCGAAAAGCTTGAAGGACACGCTGCTCAAACATCCGAGCAGCAAAAATGGAGAACATCCGCTTGCCCTCCTCCATCTTTTGCTCCTCGGTCATCACCTAAACAAAGTTAAAAAAGAAAGGTTCAACACATAGGATACTCACCTCCTCCTCCTCGTCGTCATCATCGTCCTCTTCTTCTTCGTCGTCGTCATCGTCGTCGTCGTCATCACCTTCCTCATCGTCCTCTTCATCACTTTCATCTTCAACATCGGCAGCCGCTTCCTCTTCTCGCTGCATTCGACGCTCAGCGAGCTGCTCCATCATCTCTAAGAATTTTTGCCCATCATTCTTTAGGAGGTCGTCTGCAACTGTCAGGATGTTACCTGGACCTACACAGGAGATTGAGGGCAATGATGCACAGGTGGAAAGTGAACTTACCAGTTACTGTCAAGTTACTCCCAAGGTTGAACAGACCGTCACGACCATTAACCTTCGCGTTATTCACAGGCCTTCGTCCGCGAACACCGGGATTACGTCGATCTCGTGGTTTTACTTCTTCTTCCTCCTCTTCCGGATCCTCATCCTCCTCCTCCTCTTCCTCGTCTTCTTCATACTCCTCCTCTTCCTCCTCATACTCCTCCTCATCCCCATCATCGTCATCGAACTCACTTTCATGTTTCGGAGGTTTTCGGCCGTTCGTCAGGGCTGGTGTTCTATTAGATGGCGGAGGATTATGGGAAACTTTATTCTGAGGAGGATCGATAACAGCGCCGTTCTTATCGAGTTCGACGCTGCCGGGAAACGGACCCGGCCCAGGGGGAGGGGGTATAGTGCCACCAGAGGAGACATAGCGCTGCTGGTAGTTTCGCGTACTGTTCTAGCTCCTCGTAATAAGCATCGTACAGTACCTCAAGCTCTTCCTCGATCGCATGTCTATAGACATCAATGATACATGTGCACGGACACCAGATATCCAACACCGATGAAAGAACAAGACACAAAGACAAGCGCGCAGGTCAGTAAAATTTTTTATGGGTGAGATCAAGGAATAAGTACAGACCGCTTCCTGCCGCAGACTGCACAACTGCAACTATGCTTCTGCTGCTCTTTCATCTTCCGGAGGACGGTATCCTTCTCGATCTTGACCAAATTGCGACGCTCGTCCTCGCCCAGACCAAGCCAGAATTCTTTGATACGCTCACGTTCTTCTGTGGAGCTAGTGCTCCAGATCTTGGAGTTGTTCTGAGAGGATTTACCTGGAGCAGCTGTTGCCGGAGGACGATGTTTCTGTGGCACGGATGCATTGGATGATGGAGGCGATGGATGGTGATGAGAGTGATTATGCTGGTAGGCGTGGGCAGGAATCGGTGCCTTTGATGCCGCACGAGCCGTTCTCGCTGGTTGCTGGCCATTGACGGTGGCCGTGGCCGTTGTTGGGGTGGTCGTCGTAGTTGCTGTGGATGTCGTTGTCGGCGGTGCATACGACATAGGCTGCTTTCCCTGCGCGCGGGAGCTTGGCGGAGGATTGGAAGATATATTTTCTTTTGTTGCTGCTCGTGCTGCAGGCATGGCGTTGGCGGTGAGAGGCAGTGAGCGCTTCCTGAATTCTCCACCGGTCCCCCCACTACCCTTTTCCAGCGCCGATCCCGGCACCGTGCCCATTCCCACTCCCTGTCCCGGCACTACCGGACTTTCGGCGCTAACCGCCGGTATTTAATAGATGAGACTTTCTTGTTTTTCTTATGAAATACCAATTCCTCAACAGGCGCTGCTAGCGTTGGCATAGCAGGCATTGATAACTTAGTTCTGAAGTCAGTCGAAAGCGGTCCACTTCGCGTTTCCTCGTAGCTCAGAACTACCTGCGCAAAGGTCGCAGGCAGCGATCCACGAAAATGTGGCGCGTGCGGAACTGATGCTGCTTGTGGCTGCAGATCAGAATCGTTCTCATCGAGGTCTTGATCCTCAATGTCGCCGTCTACAGCATCAGCATCTTCGCTGTAGTCATCCTCGATAAACTCCTCTTGGCCGAACTCAGGAGGGTGAGATTGACCAGGTGATGGTAGAGCAGTCCCCAGAGCAGCTGTTGCTCGGTCTACCGATAAAGTGAACTCGGGATCGGAGAAAATTGAGGGGTCAAAAGGTAGCGACGGATATGCTCCTGGAGGGTAACCTGGAACGTCCATGCTGGCCCTTGCGGTTATCGTGGTAGCTTCAGTCGCGCTGAATCCAGTCTTCAGCACGGCATCGGACTGTACCATCTGTTGCGCAATATTGTACATTTTTTGCGCCTTTGTGCGGGTCAACAAACCTCGCATAAGACTAAGAGTAGTACTGCGTACAAAGTTTTTTATGTGTGGCGGAAACGAAGACCAATAATCCTCATCTGTCAACTCCTGTGTATTTGCCTTAGGGAAGCGCTTTAAAAATGGCGGTAGCGGCACTACTGAAATCCGTTCAGGAGCCTTCCCCGCGCGTCCTTCACCGTGACCATCTATATCCTTGCGGTACAGTTCGTCGGCGGTTGTTAGCAGCTCAGTCTGGAGTCGGATCGTAACGTCCGCTCCAGACGGCACAGCAGCAGGCGAGTGTTCAATTGTAGTGATTTGAACAGATTCCGAAGCAGGCGACAGTCTTGTGACGGATGTAAAAGGCGCGTGAGCGTCCAGCTGGAGCGTGTTCCCGCATAGCTCCGCCACCGACGACGGAGGTGCAACGATAGCTTGCTTGTCCTTTACTTGTGTGCTTGTTTTGTCATTCGTTGACGAAGGTGGGAGTTGGGACTGCATCGAAGGGAGAGGAGAGCGTAAGTACGGGAGGGAGGAAGTATGGACATCCTGTGCTGTCTCCTCATTGTCGCTTAGGACCATGCTGTGAAGTTGAGGATAATTTAGTAAGAAGCGCGGTGCATAATTGTCTGGGGTTATTTACATGAAGAGCGTAATTGGGCCAACGATCTGATAGTTGATGTTGTGTTACTTCAGTTCAGATGCTGACAAGGAAGCAGAACCGGCATTTGCCGGCCAAGCTCTTGTCGCGGTCCGAACCAAATTCTCTTTAGGCTCAGGCTATCACCGACACCGTGACAGTCCCAGTGATCAACGTCCTTATCGATGGACGGACAAGTATGTCATGAAGCTTGAAGTTTCGACTTGATTCCGCCGATGCGGCAGACAAACATTTACAGGTACAGCACCATAGAAATCAGCGGGCGCTTTCACTTTTCGACGTTCTGTACAATTCCCCACCCTCCGGCAGGACTTCTTTCATCCTGCCTTGACGCTCGATAAGAGGTGCTCCCTCTGTCAGATCGACACCTGCTGCATCGACAAGAGCAGTAGCGCCGAGCTTGGCGGTATCGCAACGGCCATGCATGCATTGCATATTTATATTTAGCACAATTCGCGTCCGTGGAGAATGTGTTGACGTTGAGAGCTGCTGGCTCTTTAAGATCATTCAGGAAAGACAGCCCTGAAAAACAGAGTTGCGATACCACTCGAATCCAGCATCTTGTTTATATAAAGGGGCCAACATCAAGATTAGGTGAATTTCAGATTCCTTTTGATTGGCTTGGAGACAGCACATCTGCGTTCGCGAACCATCCATGGTCTGCGTATGAAGGCTATGCTGGTCAAGATGCATCTACAGAACGTATCGTCAGCGATCATCGGGAACGATAACATGGACAAGCGGACTTCATTCCGAATCCCAAGGAACATCCCGTGCCATTAAAGTCTAAAGAGGTTATTGCCATATGCAAGAATTTGTCGCAATCGCAAGATCGATTCAAAAAGTAGGTGTTGGGAATCTATGACCCATGAATCGAGAGAGATGGACAGGCACTGATCTCCGACCGAGAATATTGGTGCGTATTGTTTGGCTGACCGCAAGTAGATTGGTACAAGGTTTCCAAGGAAAGCTTACTGAAAACTGCATGCATGGATTTAGAAAGGCTTGAGAAAAATCAGTGCCTCGTTGGAGACGGTTTGATGGTCAGTGAATAGGTTCCGACAAGGTCTCACAGTTTTGATATATTAATCCACTGAGCGAGTCGATACACACATACAGAAAACTGGACAAACCTCCAAATGCACTGGCGGCGCAAATATACCTGATTTACTTCGTTTCATCCTCAGGGGTGAGGGGAAGTCGCCGCAGCGCGACACCTAGGACGTGTGCACGATTCAAATGTAGTCTATGACAAGGTGAAGTGGTAATCATTTCACGAAGAACCCAAAAACTTAGCGCATATCCTTGGAGACAGTGCACAATCATGATAGCCTGTCCTATGTCTCATGTTCAAGGGGTAACTAAGAAATACAAATAGAAGCCGAATTCATGTATACATATAGGTGAAGTATGCACCATCTGGAATTGGCATGTAATTTCTTGGCTGCAACCTGCGTAGCCATAACTGGACACTACATGTGAAACGATCAGAAATTTATCTCGAGCATACTTTCTCCCGAACATTATTTCTGGTGCAACCATTCCCTACGCCAGTTTGCATTTAGGACTAGAGTTAGATCATCTCCCTCGCCCATTATGGACATTTGCAATTGTCGCCAGACTGATCAGTCCGGCGAAACTGACGTGCTCCAGTCGATGAGGACAATCGGTCTAGGTCGATGTTAGATGATACGAGGGCGTTAACTGGCTCATATCGTCGTGGATGATAGCGAAAGACCCGAGGCCTTCACGAATTTGAGATAGGGACTGATAAGGAATCTTGGACGATTGCGAGGTTTTCACCTGGAATATATTCCATGAGAAGTACCCCGGGAGACATGGTGCGACCATCACCGTGGCCTGAAACAACCAGACCCAGATCATGGAGCCGTGGAGATAATAAAACCCTAAATGTGTCCAAAGCGCCTTGCAGCTTTCAACTTCATCTCCAAATGAGATCTCATACTCGCACCAGTAGTTTTCCTCCCATTATGAGTCGTCAAAGGAATAATTCTCCCGTGGAGGGATAATATAGTTGCAGCTTGGTGCAAGTGCACGGAAGTCAGTTGCGGCTTATTCGTTGACAGTGCACCAGGAGATGTGACATCGTCTTGGAAGTGGGTCTACAAGTTCGTAGTTAAAATGAGGATAATGTATTTCATCTCTCAGAGAGCTGAGAATACTGACAGGGACATCCTTCTGGACCTGGCGTTTCATGAAAGGGGTGCCTGATGGATGAGAGCAGTGCAGCTTACTAAATTCCGAAATTTGGGACTTCGACCTAGTGATCTCCCCACATAAACGACGACTTCTAGTCCTTGTCAACATTTGGGGGTGACCTCCTCGTGTGTATGTCTCTTCTGCCATGCGTTAGACGCTATCTGGACATTGAAGCTTTGTCCCTCCTGACATCCACTAGTTGCTAGCGATGTCCGGCAGCTACCAGCAGGTCGAGATATCAGGAAAACCAAGCAAGGCAATATATATCATTCCCAGCATTTACAAGTTAGTCAAAGGTCAACAGATAAAAGATGTAAAGCATGCAGTAAACCGCAGTGGTCGTGATACAATGATCGACAACCGGGCTGAATTTCGTGTATAACTTGTTCTTCCCCATATTAGTAACTCGCGGCGTCCGTAGCAAACAAGCGATACGGCGAGCAGTTGTAGGGGTCGCGCAAGGCATGGGCCTGCAATACGCTGGTCGATAAATCCTCATCATCACTCATGCAAGGGAATAATTCCATTATCCATTCAGTAGTTTCTGTCGAACAAGTTTAAAGCCAGAACTAAACACCAAGACAGAACTCACCAAACGCGCGAAAAGTCGTACATCGGTTTGCGTCTCGTAGTGATCTTTATAACCTTCATTCACCTTCAACACCTCGAAATCCCCGATGGCAGGGTTCCAATGAAATATCCTCTTCACACCAAACCACCAACACCAATGTATGCATCGCCAGCAAGGTTTGGCGGCGCCCAAGCCATTTTTGATGACACGCGCAACGTAGATATCTGCACCGTTTACCTTTGAGTCCCTGCGGCGTGCATCCCACCCTCTCGGTGGCTCCACAAACAGCATATCGCAAGGCGGGGACAATTCAGCATCAATCGCGCAACACGAGTCAGGGCTCTTAAGGGAAGACTGTGCCTTCGTCTCATAAAACGCGCTGCTCTGTGGGCGCGCTCCGTCCAACTTGTGTGCGACAGGTTTCAAACCGCGGCCTTCTTTTGGCTGCAGCGGTACGTCGCAGCGAGAGTTGAACTTGCTGCTTAAATGAAGGAGACATGCCAGTCAAACTGAAGATGGCGTGCATTTCCGCGTGCATGGAAGTGGGTTTGCGATGTCCGTGCTTCAGAATGTCGTTTCCGTCATAGTGCGTGCGATGATGATTATAACCTGTTGATATGACTTTGCCTCCTTTTACGAGTACTGCACCAAGATGGTACGTCATGGACGACTGTTAAAAACATCATCGATCGATGTATCTTCGATAAAGTTGGATGAACCTACCTTGCTAGCTGCAATCGCACACTGAGAGAGATAATAATCCGTCTTCCTTGCCATGACAATACAAGCGAGGAAAGATAGTGAGCGTTTCTAACACTGATGGACTAGCTGATCAGAGTATTGGTGAAGGCAATATTTGAAACGATGAACGATTTTCATTCGCTGAATGATCATAAACAGGTCGTTACGTAATGAAAATCATCGTGAAGTTGTGGGTATGTAGTCCAAATATACTGGGTAAGAAAAAGAGATGAATCGTCAATCAAGGGGGCTACAGAACCAGCAATTGCTTTGAGACCAATATCCGATTGGCAAGCGCAGTTAAATTAGCATCAGCCACAACCACATCCGGAGCGTATTCAACTCCGAATGCCTGCTTAATGACATAGCATATACGTTTGGCCTGCTGCTCAGACCAGAAGCTGAAATCGTCCACATCACGAGCAGCGGGAGAGTCTGTGTCGGCGGGTTCCTGATTACCTCCGCAAGATAGGGGAATCAGGTCGGGATCGGAGTCCAGGCAGAGAGGTACAATGTAAGTCAAGTATTCCCGAACAGAGGTCAGATCGAGCGACACAGGTTTGCTCACTGCAAAACGATGTTGTTCAGATACAAGGATGTGTTTAGTCGAATGTCGGACACATACCGTACACCTCGCATGGTCCGTCAAGACTTAACACATTATACTTGCCATCGTGGTGGTAACGGACCTTCGTTCAACATGAGTTGAATATGACCTAATGAGAATGCAGGTCGTGACTCACCTCGTATTGACCAATAGTCCATGGAAGCGTGGAACGGTCAAATGAGACGGTACCAAGCTCCGGCTCCTTTCCCAAAGTGGTGATGCGATTAGTGTCATCGACAGGTGCATCCTGATCCCATTCTTCGTTATGGACAGGAACCCACATCCCGCCAGATGATATCTTCGTCACCAGGGCAGACTTGTTGGCACCGATCTGCCGGAGTTCATCATAAGTGATCTCTTAATAGAGGACAAAAGCCGCTCACTTTGTATATTCCGATCCAGTCACGACGGGAGTGCCGGGCAGGAGCTTGCCAGTTGACCTTGATAGACTCGCCTATATGGAAGCGTTTGTCGCCTGATTGACTAGGGGCAATCGAGATCTTGTACTTCGTTGTGTCAAACGATGATAGATCACGAGCGATGCGACTGAAACCACAGAATGTTATAAGACAGTCATTATTTTGAGAACTTCATACTGACGTGATAACCAGTCTTTCCCGTGATTGTTGGAGAAGAACCTTGGTCTCCTGCATGACCTCCGATATCTTGGGTCTCGCTGCAACGAAATCATAAGTGCCGTGCAACACCAGGTCTACTCGCTCCACACTTACATCTCGCAAGGAACTCCTCTACCACATCAGCAGTTTCCTCATAAACCTTGTCGAAAGTGCCTTTGACTTCTTTCGCAACTCTCTTGATCTCAGGTGCATGCCGACCCGCACGCGATTCTAGAAGGCGAGCATTCTTGCTAGCAACACTTTTGATAACTTTAACAAAGCCGGCGTCCTTGCGAA